GTTGTTGCTACCTTGACGTGGTGGTCGGGCTTGCCTATCGTGATGAAGCAACCGAGCTATACTGGCTGGAACAACCGTTCCTCAAGGTCCTACCATGTCAGACAGGTCGGTTGAAGAGCGGTAAGACTAAAAGCAACAAACCCAAGGTCCGAAGGCGAAGTCGTACTGCTGACTGTACAGAGGTGTGACAGCAGTAAGGTGTTTCCTTCAGACAACCAGCATGACAGCGATGCTGCCTTCCCACAAGGAGGGGTGGGGTTAGAAAAGGTCGACCCTAAAAATGCACACCTCGCCTTATCCCACGGATATCCGTCTCCGGCGGTAAGGTCCCAATAAGTACGGAGCTAACACAAAAATCACCCATAACAAGGTCGTGTGTGACCGACCTCAAGCAGTTGTCCCTTGGGCACTGCGGTCACGCTCTCAGGTCACTAAGACCACCTTTAATCCAAATTCCTTTTCAGGTACCTCCAGAACAACCCTTCCACGGTGTGGGCAACCGGGAAGTGAAAACCGCCCTCATACCTCTAACAGCACTCAAGACCACTGTATTCATAATAAACCTTCCTCTTCAATTCCTATTATTCCTCCTACATCGACTTTCAACTTTAAATTTCCTCTCTCGGCTTCCACCTCAAGTGTCACCATAGCCAACGATTCTAGTGCGCAAAATACTGTCCCAGGTCTACTGAAACCTCGCTCCAAACTACACATTGGAGCCTTCAACGTACGAACCCTATGTCAAATCGGTCAGCAGGCTTCCTTGGCTAAAACCCTAGAGTCTCTTACCATTGACGTGTGCTGTGTCTCCGAAACACGCATACAGGATTCCAGTGTGGTCATTCACCTGACCTCACCTCGGCAAAACGGAGAGCCAACGAGGTACACCCTTCGTGTATCTGGTGACCCGATGGCAAGTTCTCGTGGACTGGCAGGTGTAGGCATAGCACTAAGCATGAGGGCCGAACAAGCACTGCTAGAGTGGATCCCCGTCAACAGTCGTCTATGTGCTGTTCGGCTGAACGGCTACGTAAGAACTCGGAAGGATAGGGACACACGTCGTTGCCTTTTTGTCGTTTCTGCCTACGCTCCCACTGACTGCAGCTCAGATGATGTGAAAGATGAATTTTACAGAAAGCTGTCCGAACTTCTTCAGAAAGCTAAACGCTCAGACATAGTACTCGTAGCAGGTGATTTTAATGCTCAGATAGGCAGTTTAAACCAAACAGAAAGGCATTTAGGTGGATATTTTAGTATTCCGACACAGCGAACAGATAATGGTGATCGTCTGCTGCAACTATGCTCAGACAATCGTTTATTTTTAGCAAACACAAATTTTAAGCATAAGGAGAGACATCGTCTAACATGGCGACCCCCTACACCAAACCAACGATGGACTCAAATAGACCATATTGCCATCAGTCATCGTTGGAGAGGGTCGGTAGAAGATTGTCGCTCATTCTGGAGTACCTGCTTGGACTCCGACCATGCCCTAATACGGGCACGCATCTGCTTGCGCCTCACTGGACGCAAAAAAGCCACATTAAAAAGACCCGTTAGAACTGATTTGAGTAACGAGAAAACCAAAAGTAGGTTCCAGGAACAACTGAGGTCACACTTAGGTAGTTGTGAAGACGAGGCTGACCCAGATGTTGCTTGGAAGGGCATACAATCAGCTGTGGAAACAGCAGTGACATCTATTAGTGACTTAAACCACAGAGTTGCAAGGAACCAGTGGATTTCTTCAAGGTCTGTCACACTGATGGATTCTCGCAAACTCGTCCCATCAGGTCCTGAACATGATGAAGAGCGAAAACAAATCAGATCTAGGTTAAGAAAAAGTCTAAAGAACGACCGTGAGCAGTGGTGGGTAACGAAAGCAAAAGAGATGGAAAAGGCGGCGACTATAGGGAACAAAAGACAGCTTTACAGACTAATAAAAGAAACTGGAATTAATAAGTCAAGTGTAAGTGAGATTATTTCGGAAAAAGATGATACTCTCATCTGCTCCCAGTCCAGACGTTTAGAACGATGGGCGGAACATTTTAGAGAACAGTTCAGCTGGCCTTCAGCTACTCTACAACTACCCTCCATTCCCAGACAGTGTGAATGGAACATTGAAATAGGTCCCCCTACTCTTGCTGAAGTTCAAAAGGCTATAGTTAATCTGAAACGAGGAAGGGCAGCTGGTCCAGATGGATTGGCTCCAGAGGTCTTTAAGGATGGTGGTCCAATTTTAGCGATTAAGTTGACTAATATTTTAGCTAAGATCTGGGAATTAGACTTTATCCCATCTGACTGGTCGCAATCACTTATCGTCCCAATATATAAGAAAGGGTCAAAATCATCCTGTGACAACCATAGAGGGATTAGTTTAACAAACATAGTATCTAAAATACTGGCCTCGATAATTATCAAACGCCTAACTAAGACTCGTGAACTACAAACTCGAGAGAACCAAGCTGGCTTTAGACCTGGTCGTGGCTGCATCGACCACATATTCACCATTCGTCAGGTTCTAGAACACAGGCATACCTATCGGCGTCCGACGATGGTGGTCTTTCTTGACTTAAAAGCAGCATTTGACTCGGTAGACCGCGAGACTCTGTGGCAGTGTCTGTCATTGAAAGGCGTACCTCAGAAGTACATAAACCTTGTGAAGGCTCTTTACTCGAACACTACTAGTCGAGTCAGGGCTTATGGCGAACTGTCATCTACTTTTGCAACCTCAAGTGGTGTCCGTCAAGGCTGTCCACTTTCTCCATTTTTGTTTAACTTCATCATAGACCTATTGATGGAAATAACACTCTCGTCGACTGAATTGTCGGGTATTGATCTCCTTCCAGGAGGTCCACTTATCGACTTAGAATACGCAGATGACATAGTCCTGTTTGGTGAAGACGCTGACAAAATGCAGAGTCTTCTGGTAGCACTAAGCAACAATGCCAGAATGTTTGGGATGCGCTTCTCTCCCTCTAAATGCAAGTTGTTGCTTCAGGACTGGTCTGCGTCAACACCGGAACTAAGGATAGAGAGTGAAGTAGTCGAACGCGTTGATAACTTCACTTATCTTGGAAGTGTGATCAGCCCTAATGGGTTGGTATCGGACGAAATCTCAGCACGGATTCGAAAAGCTCGCTTGGCTTTTGCCAACTTGCGTCACCTTTGGCGAAGGCGAGATATCCGTCTATCAATAAAAGGACGGGTATACTGCGCGGCAGTTCGTTCTGTTTTAATTTACGGCAGCGAAACATGGCCACTAAGAGTAGAAGACACTCGTAAGCTATTAGTATTTGACCACAGATGCCTTAGAAATATTGCTGGCGTCTGCTGGGATCACCGGGTAAGTAATAGTGAGGTTAGACGCAGGGTATTAGGGAATGATGGTAAATCAGTTGATGAGGTTATGAATCTTCATCGACTGAGATGGTTGGGCCACGTATTACGTATGCCTGAACACCGATTACCACGACGTGCAATGCTAACCGGGGTAGGGGATGGTTGGAAGAAAGTTAGGGGCGGCCAAACCAAAACGTGGCATCAGTGCCTGAAGTCACTAACTTCTAGTCTGAGCCACGTTGGTAGATGCAGACTACTTGGTTGGGGTCCGCGTGACTTTCGTAACCAATGGTTGAAGACTCTTGGTGACATGGCTCAGAATCGATCACAGTGGCGTCGGTGTATACACTCCCTGTCTTCCCTTAAACTAAGAGACTAAAATCACTTCATTCTTTCTGTCTACGAACTAATTCTTTCTTCCTATACTATATCCTTATTGCAACCTTTGACCTAACCACTCCTATGAATCCGGTGTTCATCTTGCTGTGCTAATGAGGTATGGCAACCTGGACCGATGCTCATATGTGCCTGGTCCTACGTTGTAGCTGACTGACTGACTGACTGAGTCTGCAAAAAATAATCCCTCCAAAAAGAATTTAAATTGCTGATGGTAAGGTATCGAAATTACGGAGTTAACACAACAAAAAATACGTTTCAAAGGTTTGAGGAACCAAGAATCGACAACCACCCACACACTTCTAGCAACAAGGCAATGTGCAACTAATGATATAATGAAAAAAGATGAAAGAACTGATAACTAGTGTAGAATATCCATCGGAGAATCGAAACTTAAAGAGTAACAAAAATAACGACAATATTTTCGTGCTGATTCCAAAGAAGTTGAACTATCTTTAATATGTTGAAATCAACAACACGATTAAATATCAATCTTACATAACAAAGTAAATAACACAATAATGAACTTGTTAACAACGTGCAGTGTCGAAAAAGCCATATTTTTCATGTAGAAACTGATATAACAATATAGTTGCCTAGGCCATTATAGGTAGTGGTTTTCAAAATTGTAGAGAAACAATTAAAATAACGATCACTACTAGCATTTGAAAGCCATATTAGAGGTACGGTCGATCGACTGCTTAGACAAAGTTATATTCATTCTATATAACTGACGATAATCCATCTAAGAATTAGCGATTAGACTATTACAAGAAGGATACTGTGGTAGTTTTTGTCAGTTTTATCGACAGAATAATTCATCAGTTTAGAATGATCAGTGCGAAGTGTCGTACATCCATAACAGATCCAAAAGTCCAGTAACGATATATGAAATTCACCACTTACTATAAAGGTTAGACCACATAAATATTATGACGTAAATTCACGCAGTCTTTTGGATTCGTAGCACGTTCAAATTGTAATGAAAGTAACAAACATAACGGCTATTAGCTCACAAACATTCATATCAGCCGATTTGGTAAATTCATGCCTTTTAAAATCTATGGAACTCATAAGTTATGGTAAAATCAACTAACTAAATACGGGTTGAAACTTATCATTAAAAAAACTAACCTGGTGTTTGTAATCAAATAACAGGAAAAAATGGCTCAAGGGAACAATAGTGAAAATTATGCTTCAAATCAGAGGACCAATTGGATAAAATAAAGGAAATACGACTAACTGTTGAGAGATAATTCACTTTGTTAAGACGACTGTAACATAGAACGAAGATTAGCAGGATTAACAGGAGGAGGGGGAGGTGGTGGTGGAGGCAACGGCAAACTGAGATCGAGACGAGGTGATTCTGGCTTTAGATTGCTCAAGTGAGTTGAATGGCGCATAACAACGTGAGTTGTTTTACAAGGCTCATGTAACACAGAATTAGGATCCAAAAGCGAGTTCCTTTTAGTTGACTTTGCTATAGCTGTTGACATTGGTGATTGAGTGGTAAAAGTAAATGAAACTGTAGAACTGACACATAAACTTGACGGAGTTAAAGGACCACATGATACTGAAGTGTTGTTGTTACTTGACAGATTAGGTAAGTCAATCAATTTTAAGTGCACTGGTAGAGATTGTTGGTCGAGGAGACCAAAAGAATTGCATACCTTTAAGGATAGGATAAAGTGTATATTTAAGTGTGTAAAATAGGACACACTAAAAACAGAAAATATTGACAAAATATCAAGCCTAACTAAATTTAGACTCATAGATAAAGGTTTGTAAAGAGTTACGTCTAAATTACAAGCGGGACTACCACGATAAATGATTAACTTTTAAACCGGATGTTCAAAAAATGTAAAAACTGACTCTTCTTCCAACTGCTTATCATAAGTATACTTTCAGCACACTTGTACGTTTACTAAGGATGAAAAGTATGAGAGTAAACCGTAACATAGCAAGGATTTCATTTTGTAAGACAGGTAACAAGTGAGATAGTATTGCAATTAAGACAGTGTATTGTTCACTATCTAAAACTTTGTTCTGAAATTCATAAATTCGTAGACAGTATTTTCGGCATTTCATCCTTCATTACCTGCTGTGTATATCTGATAATCTTGTACCGACAAAGTGGTCTACTTCCCATAAAATCTCAACATGTCCAGTATTGCTTCTTCAAAACTATGGGTATAAGTTTTAGCATCGTCAATAAACCGAAGCTTCGAACTTTAAATGCAGCGAGGAGACGAACAATGCAATTTTTACGTAGTGTTTTCGATTAAGAAACATTGTTTATTATGCATATGCCTATGGACGATTAGGCACACATTTGAATCTTAATGCAATGTACGGTATGTATTCCTTTAATCGTAGTAGGAAAAAAATTCAACCCGTATTAATTTGAGGCCAAAAATAGGGTTGCCAAGAAATGACTACACGTCTATCCCCACCTATGACGAAATGGATTGGAATGAAGTATAATGTTTTGTCGAATTTCTTGAGTCATTGTAAAGGTTTATACCAATGATTTTCAAGTAACTTTACCTTGCAGATTGTGGTCAAACAAAATGTACCTGCTCATTAAAACCTATTTATTATTTGATGGATACACCAGTAATTCTTGATGACAATGACCTACCTGCTGTCCAGACACAACGACATAAGTATTATTATTAGAGCCAAGACTTGAAAAATACTGCGCATTCTTGTGGGGTAGTGGTTACAGACTTCGGAATCCTGTGGTCGATATGTGGAGCCCTTTATACATGTTGATACTAAAAACCTTTTTACTTTGTGTACAGTTTGCTTGTCCCAAACTCGAGTGTGGCATAGAAGCGGCTAGCCCCTACCTAAAAAACAGAGCCGCTGGAAAACGTCCAAAGAACCACAACTGAAACGATCGTCTGAATCGCAAAGTTAAATTAAGACACCATATATATACGCTATATGGAAGAGATATGATAACAAATTTGTATCGAAACATGAAATGAAACATGTAATAAGTAAATTTTTGCCAAAAGTTTTTCAAAGGAACTTACATTATTATCTGATATTTCTGAGCTACCCATGTGTGCAATGTGTCGAAAGTTTATTGGATTACCTATGGAATACCGGTCAATTTTTATCCGTCTCTAAAACCCTGAAAATGAGTTAAAGAGGATCTTACAGTCGCTGGAGCGTTTGGAATGCAACAAAGCATCTTAATCTTTAATGTACCGACCAATCGATTTATAAAAAACACTAGTACTACATTGACGATTTACAAGCATAGCGCGTATGGGTTGTAGGTCAAACACTTAGTGAAGTTAAAGATGTTTCGACACACAGCACTAAGTTTAATGATATTCCGTTTAGTTTCCCATGAATCATCTTTAACTACAATATAGGTCATTAAAATGTTTATTATTTAAAATTCTAACAAGCTGTACTTTCACCCCCTGAATGCCCTGGTACGGCCGAGAGTGGGGAGAGTCCGCTCTCCCTCTCGAAATACTCTCACACGGCCACGCGTATACAGCCTCTGCCAGGGAAGTCCTACTCATTGCCTTCTCGTGGCGGGGTTGTTGTTTACGAAAATGAGAGGACGAAAAGCGAATGTCCGGCGCTTTAACCGGATTCCAAATCAATGGTGCACATGGGCTCCAGTATCCTGCGGGAACGAATGGCGTATGAACCAATCGTTGGTCACCGGCTACCATGGGACTGCATCTCCTTACGATGCTCCACTGCCTTGTGGGTTAGACCTTTAGGTCAAAGGCTCGGGGTGTGGCCCCCTAAGATAACCACCTGCTTCGGTTTGGGCACCCGGGCAGTATCACAGCCCACACACAAATGATGAACTCTATGTCCATGGAAATTACTTTTGTCGCTTTGAAAAACAATCAATTGATTCAAATTATGATCACTACAATTATTGTCATTATTAATACTAATATTATTATTACTACTATTATTGTCATTATTTTTATTATTATTATTATTATTTTCCACATTATTCACCTTCTTTTATACTTATACAGCGGCTCGTCTTTGGTGGAATTCCGACTGTATCTAAACGTTCTCGAGTCACTGTCCGGTTGAAAATTGTATGTTACCACCGAATACGAGGACTGGAGCAGTTTTTCTGAAACCACGTGCACCATTCAAACTGGCTGCCTTCAACGTTCGCACATTTATGCAGGTCGGACAACAGATAGGGCTGGCTATGTCTTTGGAAAGTCTTAATATCGACGTGTGCTGTCTATCCGAGACCCGTATTCAAGACTCTGGCGAAGTACTACAAATTCGATCTCCATCTGTCGCTTCGAAAAGCTTGTTTTACGTGCGCTTATCCGGGGACCCTGTGACATCTTCGTCTGGTCTTGCTGGCGTTGGTGTCGCACTAAGCGCTAGAGCTGAGGCAGCACTAGTCGATTGGATCCCCATTAACAGTCGGTTATGTGCTGTTAGATTAGAAAGTTCCATCAAAGTGAGAAGAAATCGGCGTGAGAAACGATGTCTTTTCGTCATCTCCGCCTATGCCCCGACAGATTGCAGCCCGGATGCAATCAAGGATGAGTTTTACCACCAGTTATCAGTTCTTCTCCAGAAAGTGCGTTCGACGGATATTGTAGTACTAGCCAGAGACTTGAATGCTCAGGTCGGACGTCTAGGCACAGAAGAGAGTCGTTTAGATGGCCGATGGGGACTCGTTGGTCGCAGGTCAGATAACGGGGACCGTCTACTGCAACTTTGCACAGACCACAACCTGTTTCTGGCTAGCACTAGCTTTCGGCACAGTCATCGCCGATGTGCCACCTGGCGTCCTCCCTCTGCATCTCAAGCCTGGACTCAGATTGATCACATCGCGATCAGCTACCGCTGGCGTGGTTGTGTACAAGACTGCCGCTCCTTTTGGAGTACCTATCTGGACTCTGACCATGCCTTGGTCTGCGCCAATCTTGCCTTACTTTTCAGTGGACAACGAAGTGAACGCCATCAACGGATTGATGTTAGCAAGCTGGTTGCAACTTCTGTTGCAAGTAAGTATCGAACCGAGCTAGCCTCTAGGCTAGCTACCACTCCACCGAAAAGTATAGATGAGCATTGGTTGCAATTGCATGACGCCATGAAAATGGCGGGAACAGTCAGTTGTGGGTTTGCGAAACGTCCCGCTTTTAAGTACTGGGTTTCTTCTGGTTCCTTACAACTCATTGAAGCCCGTCGGTCTACTCCGGGTAACCGTGAGTTTGACCATAAACGAAGGATTTTACGTAAGGAAATCGGGCAAAGCTTGCGTAAGGACCGAGAAGCCTGGTGGTCGATGCGTGCTAATGAGCTGGAAGCAGCAGCTGCATCTGGTAACTACCGGAAGCTCTTCCAACTCATCCGAGCCACTGGCAGCAAGAAGTCTGGTGTGAGTGAAACAATCTGCGAGGATGATGAGATGCCAATCACTAACATCCATCGACGTCTTGGACGATGGGCAGAATTCTTCGAAGGGCAGTTCAACTGGCCTGCTGCTCCGGCAACATCGGTCAGACTGTCCTGCCCTCCATGGCCGGTGACGACTGATCCACCAAATGAGGAGGAAGTCCGCAAGGAACTCCAACTCTTGAAGCGTTACAAATCACCTGGCCCAGATGACTTACCTCCGGCTCTTTTTAAAGATGGTGGTGACTTTTTGACTAAGGAATTGACGACGTTGTTTACAAAGGTTTGGGAACTAGAGAGTGTACCAACGTCATGGAATGAGTCGATAGTTGTCCCTATCTTTAAAAAGGGTTCACGTCGTTCTTGTAACAACTATCGGGGGATAAGTTTACTTCCGATTGCGTCCAAGCTATTGGCTTCCGTCATTCTTCGTAGGTTGTTCAAAACCCGAGAAAGATTGACCCGCGGGGAGCAAGCCGGTTTTCGTTCCGGTCGAGGATGTATTGATCATATTTTCACCCTCCGCCAAATGTTAGAACACTGTCATACTTATCAAAGGCCAACACTCGTAGTGTAGCTTGACATCAGGGCTGCCTTCGATTCGTTGGACAGGACTGTTCTCTGGGATTGTCTATTGAAGAAGGGTGTGCCTGAGAAGTTTATTAACATTCCAAAAGCCCTGTATAGAAACACCTCAGGCAGAGTGAACGCATACAACCACCTCTCTCCATTGTTCCATTCGAGCAGTGGGGTTAGGCAGGGTTGCCCAATCTCACCATTCCTCTTCAACTTTGCCATCGATGAAATTCTGGAAACAGCTCTGATGAATGTAAGTAACGGGGGTGTGAATCTGTTGCCTGGGGAGAGACTTCTAAACCTTGAGTATGCGGATGATATTGTCTTACTGTGCGATAATGCCCAAGGCATGCAATCCGCACTTAATCAGTTGGCAATCAATGTCCGTAGGTATGGTATGTGCTTTGCACCTTCGAAGTGCAAAGTACTTCTACAAGACTGGCAGGATTCTAATCCTGTACTCACCCTGGACGGTGAGCAGATAGACGTAGTTGAGAAGTTCGTGTATCTGGGTAGCTGCATAAGTGCTGGTGGGGGTGCGAGTGATGAGATCAATGCACGAATAGTGAAAGCCAGAGCGGCTTATGCCAATCTGGGCCACCTTTGGCGCCTTCGTGATGTTAGTCTGGCTGTAAAAGGCCGGATCTACAACGCGTCGGTGAGAGCAGTTTTGCTCTATGCTTGTGAAACCTGGTCTCTCCGAGTTGAGGACGTTAGACAACTCTCTGTGTTCGATCATCGCTGTCTCCGAAGGATTGCTGACATTCAGTGGCAACACCATGTCAGTAATGCAGAGGTTCGGCATCGTGTGTTCGGGCACAGAGATGATAACTCAATTGGTGTCACCATCTTGAAACACCGACTTCGGTGGCTTGGACATGTTCTCCGAATGTCGTCCCAGAGAATTCCACGTCGTGCATTATTTGCCGACTCTGGGACTGGTTGGAAGAAGCGGAGAGGTGGTCAGTGCATGACATGGTGTCGTGGCATGAAAGAAAGCTGCAAAGGACTGGCTTGTGTTGGTCCTTCACGACTCCCTGGCTGGGGTCCGAGAGATGGTGCTACACAGTGGCTAGAGACGTTATCAGATATGGCTCAGAATAGAAGCCAGTGGCGATCCTGCTGTAACCTTCTTTTACTTTCTTCATAAAAAGTGGTTGTGTCTCCTTTACCTGAAAGATTTCTTCTGATTGTACCTCTTCGTCATTACTCTCTCTTTCTTTTTCGTTCTTTAGTTTTTTTTTCTTTCTACTTCTCTTCGAATTCCCATTGTTTTGTGTGGCGCATATATATTGGCGCTCTCTTGTACCAATATTTATGTGTTCAAATAAATAAATAAATAATAATGCTTTTGTTGAAGCAGTGTCACCGAACCCTGAAGAAACCAACCTCCATCTAGGTCACTGTATTATTAATTCTTATAACTTGTAGTATGCATTTGGAATTCTCCTCATGACGATTCAACCACAAAATACAAGTGCTATAAGTCTAGTAGTATAAGCAAGTTGACTAATACCCTTCACAGTCCCGAATGAACCCAACGCTACAGCATCTGACGACACAGATACCATACCTCCCAATGTATTTAAATGAGTTAAGGTAGACAGAACAGGCTGTTGATTTGAAAAAGAACTATGTGGATCGGGAGGAAACAGTACGCATTGAGTAGAGCTGTAAAAAAAGACAAATTCACTTAAGTGTCTAGCATCTCAAGCAATTTGGGGAATCTGTAAAAAAAAGCTCAGTGACAAATAGAAACCCATTGTTAGTTGAATCATATTAACCAAGCATTTTTTAGAATCATATACCACAATACTATCAAAAAGCAGCTGCGAAATGTTGGCAAGCTAATCATACTAACTTACTTAGACCAGTTACCCCACGTGGAGGAGCACAGATTGCTCACCATCATTCTACATCGAACTCTATCCTGGGCTATCCTTTCTAGTTGTTTCCAAGTGCCATTCATTCTTTTGGTGTCTACTTCCGATTCCCGGCGCAGTGCGTTCTTTGGTCTGCCTCTTTTTATTTTCCCTTCACGGTTCCAAGTTGGAGCTTGCATCGTGATGCAGTTTGGTAATTTCCACCATGTATCTCCTGTCCACTTCCAGGGTATTTTATTAATTAACTTGAAGAAGCCACATGTATTTGCAGTTTGACAACAATTTAACCGGTAACATCTATAATTGAATCGTGTCCACCCAGTGAAATCGAAAGTCAGAAGCTATGAGGTTTGAAGATATATTCGATAGGTTATCAATATATCGAGAAGTGACTGATCTAAACTGTCATCAATCTTGATCTGGTGCGGATGCATGACCAAGCGCCTTCAGCTGATTGAGTCCAATAAAACTAATGTGGTCAGTATCCAATGTCGAAGACTTACAGAGTTATTGATTTCTGGGATCTATTTACCATTACAAACTATTCAGCTGTGAGTTGGTTTGTTCTTTCCAACAGTAGGCTGTTGTTGATAGCATGCGGCAAACGGACATTCACTATCTTGCGTAGTCAATTGTTTATAAATATCTATACTTTTTGATGATGGTTGTAGTAGATCTCCAAGTTTCAGCGCCGTACAGTAGAACTGTCCTGATATTCGTACTGTAGATTCTGACTTCGATACTTGCTGACTGTTGTTTTTAGTTTTATATATATATTCGATTGTAAAAATGCCGCCCTTGCTTTGACAATCCTTGCCTTTACGTCTGCATCAAATCCTACTTGTTCATCGATTATCCTGACCAGATAAGTGAAAGTTATCACCTCTTCTAGAGCTTGTGCATCAAGTGTGATTGGGTTGGTGTTCACTGTGTTATATTTGAAGATGTTGCTTTTCCCTTGTGTATATTGATGCCTACTGATGCAGAGATTGCTGCTACACTAGTTGTCTTCATCTGCATCTGTCGCTGTACATAAAAGCTATTCACAGTACGTAGATATTTAATACTGATAATAGATGTGTTCAGTATATTTGTTGTGTGCGGTTTGAAATTCAAACCGCTACCATCTTTGTTCTTGTTTATGCTCTTGATATAACATTTGAAGGATTATTATTAAATTAAATCGTAATAAGGCTGTTCATCCTCAAGTTTACTGGTATGCATAATTAAACATTTTAATGAATTCTATAAATGTAATAATAGACGCACTCACAGGACTCATATGTTATGTCCAAAGTTTACTCTAGTCAGTTGTTGAAGCACGTTGATTGATCTACTCGTAACTTACGACCCAAATAACAAGAGAATCGAACTCCAGTTCAGGAACCGAAGTTTATTCATAAACTACAGTTAGTCAACCCCGATATATTGCTTTCATTACAATTACAAAACAAACCCTCAGTTTTTATGTTTCTGGAGCTAAAATTCCAAAATAGCTAGACGAACACTATGAAAACAAAATGTCTGAGGTCAAAGGTACAAGCAAACAAGTTCAAAATTTGAATGAAACTCATTTAACCAAAACAGTGAAGTTATTAACACTTAATATAAGTTATTAATCAGTCAAATACTTTCAGTGATTCTTATAACGCTAAAATGTCATCACAAACCACTTGCTTCATCTTTGAATATCTATGATGAGAGAATGCAATGCCTATCGACTGTGAAAACTATGATAGTAGGAAAAGGACGCAGGCGGATCAAAAACGATGTTTTGTAGCATCTGAAGGTTGTGATTCAATGTGACGTTCTTTATATTTGTCAATAACTCTAAAACTTAAATCTGAGTGTAAGCAAATGCAAGCACCTAAATGTATGACACCGGGAAATTGAATTTAAAAGTCGTTAGGGTTAACAAAGAATCCTTCAAAAATAGATTATTTAACTTAGTCATAGAATTCTTCCGATGGACAATCTTATCACCACCGTAATTGCGAGGCTCTTTCCCATAACTCTTATGACTTTTAGGCCACTTACTATTGCCATGAAAGAACTAAAACTGGATGGAAATTGTTCGTAAGCAGTCTTATAACACTGGATGTTCCTGAGTATCGGTAACTGTTTTTAACGGAAGTATTCCAAACTCCGAATTTTCGAAACACTCTTACCTCTTTTAAGACAAATCATTTTGTAAAACTTGCTGTTATCTTCGTTTCGTCTCCTTTATTCCAGTTCAGCTAATGCAGGTTATTGATAAGTACAGTCATTCTCGTTGAACCGCTGTTGATGTCAGAGAGACTGGGACTAAAACCCAACTTATCCTCTTGGGTTAATATTCGGTTACTGAGATTGTTTATGCTTTGCAGATATATATTTCATGGGACGGAACTTTAGATTCAATCAATGATACCTCATTTACAGACCACCTTGTTTTGCTTGAATTAAACTTATTATTTCCCGAAGTGGATATATCAATCACCACAGAACTATTACTGACTTGGCCAATTTTCCCACCGACACGAAAACAAAACACTAATATATAGATGCGTATATTTATAAAATATGGATTGTTCGCATACCTTTCGAAAAGAATATAATAAAGCACGAGAATTTTGATTGTCAAATAAAAATATGAAGTAAAACAGATAAGTTAACATAAATGTTGTTATGAATGCAAGAAATTTGTAAAGAAAAATGCAAATAAAGATAGTTTGATAGATACATGATTATACCTGTTTGTTCACATCATAATATGCATTGACTTGACGATTATCGTTTAAAAAACACATTATTAGTAATAGTTAATTGAAATAAAGTCTAATCATTGCAAAACAACAAATCGTTACAGATTGAGGTCATAAATAATTTATACCTACCTACTAATAAATGATATTTTGATAATAACATTAATTATTAATACTAGTGACAATTTTTGATAGATAATAATTAATAATATACTCATATGGATTCTTTGTCACTCGGATAATGGAAAAGGAATAAAAACGACAGCATTGATAAAATCAAAATATTTAGTACAAAACGAAAACAGTGGCAACGACGAAAACGAAGAGAAACCACGAGGACTAGAAAAAAACAGTAGTATCAGCAGCGAAAACAACAGTAACAATGAAGATAAGGAGAATTATCCGGTGATGTAAATGCAAATGAGGATCGTCAAAAATACCTGATTTTATAACATCAAAGGAATTATTCTGAAATGCACAAATACCGTAAATAGTAAACGGATACTATATTCAATTGATTTGGCTTAGCAATAGTGAAGAAATATAATCCCAATAGGGAACAAAATAAACCTATTATTTCACCAGTTCAAGAATATAATTTTTAAGAAATTAGAAAAGTCCTTTCTTTTTCTTTTCAGTTTTTACACGTTCTTTAATTACCTCATTCATAACTCGTTCACCAAGGCCTAGTGTTGGACCATTTGTCCCAATCTCTGCACCAATATCCCATTCACGCCAATTTTCTTCCCAATTTTGACGTTCTAATTCAAATGCACGTCGGGCAGCTTCTTGTTCTAATTCTTGGGCTTTTAATTGTTCTCTCATTTGCTCTACACGTCGCATTAAATCAGATTCTAGTTCGCGAAGCTTCTGATTTTTTTCTTCAACCTATTGAGGATAAGTGTGATAACAATGAATTTAAATGTACACAATATTGCAGGATGAAATTAAAACCAAATATTAAAAGTGGGGATTATCACAAAAAGTTAGGTCGTATTGTTAGAATCATTATTGTAATACACAGCAAAACGTTAATAACTACCTCTAACTGTCAACAAAAAATGAAAATAAAGAATATACAGAGAAGGGTTTTTGAATAGTTCGCAACATTAGCAAATAAATGTATACAGTTTTTAAACCATGAGTAAAAAGATTATTTTAGTACAGAAGTGTTAGCGTGTAGTATAGAATAATGAGCAATAAATACACTTACCATACAAACCCCTCAACTGTGCTGCATGAACATTAAAGTCTGTTTAATATACAAAACGTTTTTACGCCTAATCATCCTAAAGAAATCAGTTATAGAATATAGATAAAAAAACATTTACGTAACAGAAGTTGGAGTTGTATGATACGGAAAATGGGACGATTTGATTGACAGAAATCAAGATAAACGAAACCACTGATTGATCCTGATCATAATAATGCAACAGCAGTTCTATTAAAATCTGTTTTACATTAAATTCCTTGTTAATTAATAGGGAAATGTAAAAAAAGAATACTTACATTTAAAGTGAGTTACGCTCATCTAGTTTTATACTTAGAACTTTAAAACACTTTCCGTGCATTTTAAGACAGCATCAGAGCAACTCCATGGGTGTGTGGAGCTTTTTGGTCTTCGTGAACAGAGTACAGCGACATCTCTCTTGAATCTAGCCTTCTCCGTTCAACTTAGGTCTAACCGGTTTTACTCATTCCAAGCACCGCCAAGTTCTATCTCATTTCCGTAGCTATTTGACTGGTCCTCCTGATATCCCACATTATCTGGACATTTCATGTACCTATATTAATTGTTGCTCTAGTTGTTAGAAGGGGCATCGGCCTTATGACTTCCAAAGAATCTCGACTTTCATCATGAGGCGTTATAATTCTTCTGAATGAAGATCCTTCAAAACGGAGGGTAGAGTTTAATTTCTTTATTCTAGTAAGCGTTTTTTCTACGGGATAGGGTAGTTGACCCCATGCCCAATCCTTAATCTTTACCCCGGGTTACGACCGGCAGTAACCCTAGAAGAGCTACAGGCTGAGTTATTAAATTACTATTATAGTATTTTACATGCAACGTAATTTTAAATCAGAAATATCGAAATGATTTTTTTTTCATCTGTATTTTATTTCACATGATTGAGTTAATAATTTCGGTATTCTAAAACTTATAAATGAAAAACAATGTTAGAAGTTGCAATATCTAGGTTAAGGTTGAACTCACAATTTTATTTATAGATAAATATTTCGTTATTGTTAATATTCATTAAAAATAAGGTCACTATTTGTTTTTTTTACTTTCACTAATAATATATGCTGTAACATATTTCCGATTAGGATTTTATTCATCAAGCGAGCAATAATTAAAACGGTACGAATACGTCTGAAAATAAATTTTTTTTGAACTTTTACGAACTTTATATTGAAAACCGCATTACACCAGTAGAAATTTTATGAGATTACTCTCATTACAGACTGACACCACCTGGAAAACTGGTAATAGTGAATATCTACTTACTGACTCAACGATATGTTATCTGTTTCAAAGGTTATAGTCAAGTTTCAAACTTTGATATTAACAACAATGAGTAACATAGTCTTTAAACGAAATCAGTGTGATAACCTTATTTTGCCAGTTACATATGTTGTGGTAAACCGTATTGCGTTACTTAAATTCGTATGAAGTATTCCAGTTTATCACCTGTAAAACATTACACGCAAGAACGGCTTATCAACACTGAACATTTCACATTCAGTCATGAAATAAGCTGTCTCTTGAAGTACGAACTTACTTTCTTACGCCCGTTACCGCTCGTGGAGGTTTGGGCACCCGGGCAGTATCACAGCCCTTACATATATCAAATGAGATCTGTGTGGCGCATATGTATATGGTGCCTCCTTGTACCAATATCTATGTGTTAAAGTAAAAAAATAAATAAATGCAAGATACTCAATGTCCATTTGCCGCATACCATCACCAACAGCCTACTGTTAGAAAGAACAAACCAACTTCCAACTGAATAGTTAATTAAGAAAAGACACTGGAAGTGGACAGGAGATACATGGTAGAAATTACCAAACTGCATCACGATGCAAGCTCCAACTTGGAATCGTGAAGGGAAAATAAAAAGAGGCAGACCAAAGAACGCACTGCGCCGGGAATCGGAAGTAGACACCAAAAGAATGAATGGCACTTGGAAACAATTAGAAAGGATAGCCCAGGACAGAGTCCGATGTAGAATGCTGGTGGGCGGCCTATGCTCCTTTACGAGGAGTAACAGTCGTAAGTGCCCCCAAATGCCCTGGTACGGTCGAGCGTGAGGAGATTCCACTCTACCTCTCGAAATGCTCTCATATGGCCACGTACATACAATCACTGTCAGGGAAGTCCGACTCACTACATTCTCACGGAATTACTGTTGTTTACGAAATTAAGGACGAAAATCGAATGTCCGAGGCTTTAACTGGGTTGGTGGATATGGAGGATCCACCTAAGGGAGTTGAAAAACCCTGATTACAAATCACTGGTGTACATGGGCTTCAGTATCATGAGGGAACAAATGCCGTATGAACCTATTATTAGTCACCGGCTACCATGGGACTGCATCTCTCAATGTTGCTCCACTGTCAGGAGTGTGGCCGCGGACGAAAGTCAAGTGCTTCGGTTTGGGCACTCGGGCAGTATCACAGCCCTCACACAAATCAATAATAACTACTTCAGGCCTGATTGATATTGTATGGCACATATGTATTTTGGTGCTCCCCTATACCAATGTCTATGTGTTCAAATAAATAAATAAAATGAGTAAGTACTTTACTTGTCAATGATAATTATACTTTGTTCTGACATCTTGTGCATAAAATTAGTACTTAAGATACCGTGATCACTATAAAAGACCAACTATGAATATAGAAATCTATTTCTATATGTTAGATAACATTTCATATATTAATATTGGCGCAAAGTACTTATCTGAAGCTATTTTAACCGAGGAACAGGATCTTAAAATCGATCGTGTTTAAATTTGACTTACTTTCTGGTCGAATACAGCTTCCATTTCTGCTTCCATTTTACGCATTTTGGCTTCATGTTCTTTTTTCTCAGCTTCCATGAGAGCCATTGGATCTTTACCATCACGTGTTTGAAAGTGGCTCTCCAAAGCAATGCCTGAAAGTTTGGCATTTCGATAATTTTCATAGTGAACATTATGAGTCACATCACGTAATTCCTAATCACAAAATAAACAAACAATACTGACCGGTTAACAGCAAACATCGAAAGTGTAAATAAAATATTGGGATAATAATTGTATTACAAACCATATGCAACAAGATCATAAATACTATTATTAAGAATCCTACAGTTTTCGTTAAGTCCAGTAAACTCCTTAGTCAATATTTGACTCTTCCACAGGATTACCGGTAGTTAAAGAATAAGAGGAATTTAGTTACGGTCACTATTTACCGTAGTCGGCGCTAGGAATATTCACCCTTATTATTGTTTCTACCGAAATGTATTCCATGGTATCATAAAAGTTAGGTAGGATAGTTGTAGTTTTTAGTGAAATTTTCATAAGTCATTAGCAGTAAATAACAAAGTTTAATTGGATTTACTATCAAAAATAAAATCTGTTTTATTCATCATTCTTTAAAAATATTAAACGTAACAATGTAGTTTTCTTAAACAAAAGAAATTCATCATTTTCAAGTTAATAACTATAAATTTAAACAGACTGAAAATTCAGGACTACCGAATTATTTTATCTTGTTGTTACTTTTATTGTTTGATACAATTATGCATCTTTTTTTAAAGATTATGAAATAAGATCAAACTTTGCTTCACTTATCAATATTTAAGCAGATAAATAATTTTATAGTCAGTCATTGTATGAAAGTGTGTGTAACGTATATAAGGCTATTATACGATTTATTTCTTCATATACCGGTGAAAGAAACCAAATGGCGAATAATTATAAATGATTTTGTAATCAATTGTTAGTGATTACCAATGAGTTGATACCATAAGAACAGAAGAACAGATATAAATTGTGGAGGTCTAAACGGTTATGCATCGTAACAAAACAGAAGGGAATTAGTCGACAGTAATGAAAATGAAGTAATTAACACAATAATGGGATGAATAACTAAGAACCAAACTGACTACTGATTTTTAACATTTTAAAGATCCCATATGAATCAATTGTATAGTTTACACCAATAATCACTGAATTTATCGGTGGGTATCATGTCTTAGTTTGACTGCCCTAATCTTTTCGAATTATAAGTCATGTTTTAACATCAAGACTGATAACTGAGATCAAAGGAAATAAGTAGAAAAACTTTGATTTTTATGGTTTTATAATTAATGATGATTGTCTTAAAATACAGAAATTAAAAAAAGCATGGGAGAGAGAAAATAATCATTTGGATGCGGTCGCTACACATTGGCAACATTGACACATAGGACTTAAGTTAGCCCTTAATCCATTAGCGAGTGAGAAAAGAGAAATTCCAGCGGAAAATAGCTACGCAAAAGTATTGTAATCAAGCAAACAAGAATCAGCACACCAAATTATAAAGATTTATATCATTATATTATATGACAGAATCTTACTGGATAATAAAATCTGGGTTTTAGAAAACCGTAAGGGTTTTCTAGCATTACTCCACTTTTGATTGTAGTTAAAATAAAGTCAAACTATATTGTAAACTAATTTCAAATTAAAAATAATTTAAACAAAGTATCGATTTCCACTAATATGTGGAAATCGATTTACAAACAATTTGAAGTAAAATGTCTACCAAATGGAAAAGATAATCATTACAACAAACAACCTAAAATTATTCAACCGTTTATAATTAAATTTCATGTGCTTACATTTAACTGTCATTGTTAATGAACTAAATTCAATGAAATAGCCATTAAGTATCAATCAGAACGCAAAATTCAATGTTTGGTGTGATTATAGCGACTCACGTACAAATGGGTTTATTCTCATTTAACTCAGTTAGGCCCTTTTTGCTAACTTATTTAGCGGACAAAGCCATCCGCACTATAACAATTTATTGTACCCTTATAATTATTTTGTGCTTGTATGAAATACGCATGCTTGAATATTGCTTACGGCCTACGCATTTGTTCACTCTGCTAGTCTCACTACTAACCGCTTATTTGATTCGATTACTCATTAATTTCACACGCTATATATATGTCCATGTTATTTATATGGCTGACTCTGCTTTCTCGCTCGCTTGATTGTACACGATTACTTACATTCGCTCAGTCGCTCGCTTGCCTGTTTGCCGTTCGGCACAACTCTTAATGCTCGTTTAATGCATCTGTAATTTTGGACATGTGTGTGTGGTCTCGAAATACACGTAATCAACGCTTCGTATTCGCCTTCTGAATAATATAACGTTGGGGTTAAATAGGACGGTTATCAAGACGAATTGTATACGAAGTTAAAGGGATATATCGAATACCGACCACCACATGATCCGTTGTATTAAACAGATCTACTATTAGACAAGAATGAAAATAATATTTCTAAAGTGATAAGGGTGAGGTAATTCCGTATAGGGATATCAATGTAGTAGTAGTAGTAGCAGCTTGTTTATTGATAGTCAATAGTATTTCAAGTGTTTACACTGCAAGAATGATCAATTCGACAGAAAAACAAACAAAACATGGTTGTCATGTTCCTCGTCAAGTGGAAAAATGAAAATAATGTCTTATTGAAAAACTCCAGGATACTGAGACTCAATCTTATTTACACCAGGCTTAACGCTTGTTTTTTGAAAATACATTTATAATCATGATCCGACTATAAGCATAACTAAAAACAGGACTTATTTGGGTGTATAAGCTCTAACCATAAACCGTAAATGACAAAAGATATTAAACAGAAAACGTATTTATCAATCCGTCATACATGATACAATCTACTTTGAGAACACACATCAAATCCTTAAGTATACCAAACGCCTAAGAATTTTTGAAAATCTTTTTTAAATCCCACCTGCATGTAAACGCTCAACAAAAGATACCGTATGGCAGCAAAATCATTATGATCCATGTTTTCAACCTCGACGATACCCCAAGGATAAGAGCGTGCTCGAACACGAACTCCAGCATTATTAGTAATCAGTGTATTAGCTCCGACAATAGCAAAGGGAACCCTATCGCGTAGTCGTCGTAGTTTAACTAATTCCTCATCGTTGCTCCGATCTATTTGAAACAGAAAAGTCGGTATACTGAAAAATGTGACATTTTTATGTACCAAAAATGATTTTATAAATTCTGAGAACAAAATAAATAGTCCCCATAAAATGAAATAAATTACACTTAAGTAAAAGGAAAAATGATATGTATTAGTGGAAATAAAATAATAATTGGTCGTTGAGCGTGGACAAACAACCACAGCCTACGGGCTATTAAATATGTGATTTTTCTTCCTATCATTGATTTCTACTCCGAACTCACTGAGTATGACTGCTTTTATTGAATAAAGTATTATCTAGTGTTAATCTAGTTTTCTATTTCGAGTCGTGAATCTTAGTTCTGATATAACGTAATTATCCTTATTAATGTATTATCGTAATATACGCTAGAAATAAAAAATATTTCAAACATTCGTTATATAAAAAATCAAAACTATAACAAACAGATATTTATCTCAAAAAAAGGGAAAAAACTAAAAAGGGCTTTTATAAAAAACGGTTGAGTAGAAAACATGATCCCCAACTAAAGCTGATTTGTGAAGACTGTTTTATAAAAAATATTTTCATCCGCCAAATCAGATGATTGAGAAGTGTTAATACTGAGTCAAATGCATGGGTTCAATACTGCTGAATATGATGTGGTCATATTTGGCACGCAGTTAATGCCAACAGAATGTAACGGGAAAACTTTAACGTCAATTAATTTTAGATCCGTTGCCCAACCTCAGTATTGACTTTCTTAATTTGAACCCAAAAAACAATCAAACAATAGCGCTCTCATTTTTTTAATTGTAAGATGATTTTTAGAGGGGTAATACTTATATGATGGGCTCGTCTAGTAGTACGTATTTAGGTTTTTCTCTTTTTATACTTATGCAAACTGATTGATTTGATTTATCATCCTTCTTAAATCTAAATCTACGTTTACACAGATAACGATAAAATTACATATATACTCCTTATTAGCTTACAACTATTAGATTGGCATTGGATGTTTGGGATGTGATTCTCAACCTTAAGATGCAAAACTTTGTTTCAGAACTAACCTGCATCAGCGACTGAACTAATGATAGGGAGTCAAATCGTTGAGCCTGTAGACCGCTTTACTTACCTTGGGAGTCATCAGTGCCGATGGACTGGTATCTGACAAAATATCGGCACGGATTCAGAAAGCCCAATTGGCTTTCGCCAACTAGCATCACTTGTGGCGTAAGTGAGACATCCATCTGGCAACCAAAGGTCGAGTTCACTACGCAGCAGTTCGCTCTGTTCTCTTGTATGAATGTGAAACATGGCCATTGAGTAGAGGATATTTGTATCTTACTACTATTCGATCACAGGTGTCTTCGGAATGTTCCTTGTGTATTTTGAGACCACTGGGCAAGCAATGCCGAGATTAGGTATAGGCTATTAGGTTAAGATGGCAAATTAATTGATGTAGTAAATCTTCACGTATGCCCAACCACCTACCACCTGGGGGGCAATGTTGTCTGTTGTAGGAGTAGATTGAAATAAAGTTAGAAGAGGCCAAACGAAGTCACTGACAGTAAAACCGAGTCAAGTTTGAAGGTGTAGACCACCTGGTTGAAGTCCTTGTAACTTGTCATCAATGGTTAGAGATGTTAAGTGACATATCTCAGAGCCATTCGCAATAGCGGAGGTGCAGTTGTTACTTGTCTTCTTTAAGAATCTGGACCCCGAAATCTCCCTATACATTTTTTTCTGTTCTTTACTTACATTTTTACCACTACAACTGTAATTGTTATCACCTCTATTACTCTGAGATCTATCTTGAAGCAATTCTATCTCACCGTACTAATGTGATGTTGTAACTTAAAGCGGTGTGTGTCAGATCCCACTTTGATTTTTAAATAAATGATTGTTGCGTGAAAATTCAAACGAAGTAACGTTTTGTACCCCGAAAACATCCTTCTGAAAATACCAGACTAGGTAGTAACTCGAGGAATTCTGAGATATTTTTATAGACATAAATGTACAAGCAAACTTGGTTAGGTACCTGTTATGATATTCACAAAACGACACAGCAGTGGTATGGATATAAATATTGGTAAACAGATCATTCAGTTTCGAGAAGATATTCTGAGTACAAATCAACAGCTGAAAATAAAGACACTAACATAATTACCTGAGCATTCAGGTGGGTCGATAAACTCGAATACGCGTATCTTTCTAGATGCTAAGTCACTTAGTATTGTTTTCTTGAATTCACGACATTCTTCTGGAGTCAATGTGTCAGCTTTAGCGATCACGGGAATTACGTTAACCTTATCTTGTATGCGTGACAGGAATTCTAGATCCAATGGTTTCAGTGAATGTCCTGGAAAAAAAGTGATAAACATTGAAGCGTTAATTTTTGATAACAAAGTCAAACTCATTGAGATTTCAATAAAAAGATAGTATGATCGATTTTCAGGGTTCTTTTATATGAATAAAATTACAGAAACAATGAACAACTTGACTACATCAGTACTTCAAATAAACGCAACTGATTTATCCATATTTTATGTGTTGATTTGCATTACGTTTCATTCGAAAAACCTGGATAACCTGAAAAATATAAGGGCTTTAGAACTTAACTCTAACTAATTAAGTAACAAGATAAGTTATGCTCTCTAACATTCTCATGGAACGCATTGGGTACGACAGGCATGAAGAAACCTTCCATTTTAGTGTAAAGTATAGTATAAAAACAATATATTGGTTTGGTTCTATAAAGTGCCATTAAGAACAAGTCGGATGAACTGAATAGAATGCTATCTTTGCTTGTCTTTAAGCAGACAGCAAAAGCCAACCTGGGTTAACTTATGGAGTTGAAACTGGTCTATATAACTTAGTAACCAATATTCAAATAAGTTCTGAAAAAAAACTGTGTAACCGGAATAAAATAACCAACCAGTCGGAAAATGTCGCAAAATAGTCCACAACTCCATACAATTTTGAGTTTGACTTTAATGGATAGATCAATTTTGAACACATTTTGAATTTGTGGGATGCTCCGAAAGACAGGCAAAACCTGACTGAAAGTTATTGATTGATAAAAACTCAGAACAGAAGTATGCCTATCCAAACATTTTATGATTTATCAATGAATTTTTGACTAATGAATTACTTTGAGACATATTATTGTGAAAAACGCACATTTTAAACACTCGCCAAATTAATTTACTAAGCTTAAAAATACAAACGAAAAGATAACATAAGTGAAAAATGTGACAAAAATTTGCAATTCTGAAAACTAACCCCATCAATAAAGCTCTTTACCAGACAAATTTGTGCAGTGATATTGATTATCCAAAACTGGAATAGTGACTGATATATTGTCTGAAAAAGCTGGACATCAGTTTGTCTCCAACCACACAAATAACTTATAAGTTTGTGGAAGTAACAGGGTACTTTAAGTATATCAATAGATTAACATGAATAATCAAGTCTAGAACGCCTGGTACGGTCAAGCGTGAGGAGAGTCCACTCTACCTCTCGAAATGCTCTCATATGGCCACGTACATACAATCACTGTCAGGAAAGTCCGACTCACTACATTCTCACGGAATTACTGTTGTTTACGAAATTAAGGACGAAAATCGAATGTCCGAGGCTTTAACTGGGTTGGTGGATATGGAGGATCCACCTAAGGGAGTTGAAAAACCCTGATTACAAATCACTGGTGTACATGGGCTTCAGTATCATGAGGGAACAAATGCCGTATGAACCTATTATTGGTCACCGGCTACCATGGGACTGGATCTCTCAATGTTGCTCCACTGTCTTGTGGATTGAACCTCTAGGTCAAAAACTCGGGTTGTTACCCTCCAAAAAAACCACATACTTCAATTTGAGAGACTGGGCAGTATCCCAGCCTTCATACAAACCGAATAATTTGTATGGTGCATATATATTTGGTGCCACATTGCACCAACGTTTATGAGTTTGAATAACTAGATAAATAACATGATTATTTTGTGTACATTCGGCATAACAAATTTACCTGTCGGAGCAATAAAGTAAATACATGCATGGATACGCTGATCTGGGATGCTCTGACACGGACGATTGACTCGGCTCTCTCCAGAAATGTAATCATCGAAGCGCGAAATAATATAATCCAGAACCGGTTGCCAACAGTTAGTATTATCTATACAGTCGCCGAACCCTGGAGTATCGATCAAATTGAGCTTTAGATAAACACCATTTTCCTTGAAAGGTAAAAAACGCTTTGTAACTTTAGATATTACTTTAAGTATAACTGTGTGTGACTGAACACAAGTAGTTTTTCTCTGACGTTTAGATGGGCCAGGGTGATCAGTGTTGTAAACTTCACTGAGAAACAGTGAATTCACGAACGTGGACTTTCCAACGCCTGATTCTCCAACAACAAGGATATTGAATTCAAACCCCTTGCGAACAGCTTTCCGATAAATCTAACGCTAGGAAAAACATCCGGAATTCGACAAGCAAACCTGGTTAGGTAAGTTGGAGTAACCAACGTAACCCTCAACAGAAGAAATTCCATTTGCAAGTGCCGTAGCTAAACCGTTTACGTGAGCTCCTGAGTCAATTTTAAATTCTCTATCAACATTTGAGTCCTTGGACTGGATCTTTAATGAGTCCAGATTTGGTAAACCATCTTTTCCAAGATAAGCACTCCTCTTACTAGCTCCATTGTGAAGTGGAGACTGCTGTTTGATATGAATTAAAAAATTAATATGGAACTTACATAAGACATGCCTATAAAATTAGAAACCAGACAAATCCTAGCCCTTAGTACCGTGAAGAACTGAAACACCCGCCCGATTATAAGCTACTGAGTAGCTGAAACTTAGTAACGCAAAATAGGATAGCAGATTTCTAAAGATGTGCTGCTGGAGTATATAGAGGGAGTCACAAACACCAAAAATTTTGGACCCATCAGTGATCCGATAGACACTCTTCAAAGTATATATTCCAATTTATTTATACCGCTACCGCGCTCGTTTCAAAAACGGCAGTTACTTGTGCTTATCCTTGCTTTGTGTACTTGTTGCACCAAAAAGCATTCTTGGTCTTCTTTAACTAAAAGTGCTTTGGCTAAGGTTTGAAACTTTTGCTGAACGCTGTCCTTTGGTACTTTTTTTACTCATTGACTGACACTCGTGTTCACATTGTGATCATATTGTGTTTTAAACCTTTCTAATCAAATTACAATGATTAGTGAGACTCATAAATGTGGGAAACCAAACTGCTTGTTCCCTGTTGGGAAAGGAATGCAATGCGATGAGTGTAAAAACTGGTACCATAAGTTGTGTACACGTCTAAGTCCTACGGCATACAAAAGATGCTTGAAGCCTAGCTCACATTGGCTTTGTATGTTTTGCTGTACAAATAAAAGTCACTAACTTAGGAGGCTATGAGTCTATTGGCTTTGGCCTGTAAGAAAATTGATGGCGGTTGCGCTGATAACACGAGCACTGACGGTGAAGAATTTGTCAGTGTAGTACATGCTGCTACCGGACCCGCTAAACACCCGACTGTGATTGACAGGAAAGTGAAATCTCCGTTAACATTAACGAGGAGTGAATTGCCGCTTGATATTGACATCGGTAAGCATACACCTCAAGTAGAAACTGAATACCCGGATAAAACTGTACCGTTCCAAATAGTCCCGAGGTGGCTGTCCTGAGTGATGATAAATGGACTTCAGTAAGGAGAAGAAGGAAGGAGAAGAAAAAGGCTGTGGGCAAAACACAGCTGGTTAGCAAGTCATTGGAAGAGACGGTGTCAGAAACAAAAACTCCACTGGGTGTCAAGACAGATCTCTCTGAGAGGTCAGTCATTATTCATAAGTTAAGAGAATCTTCCGATAAAGCTAGATTTGAACACGATCTCGGTCATATTAAGTCCTTAATAAGTAAACTACTCCCAGATACAGTTTCAGGAGTTAGTATTTGTAAGCTTTACAGAATAAGACAAAAGGTGGATTCTGAAAGTCCTCAGAAAAACCGCCTCTTGAAGGTTACATTTGCCACGGTTGAAGAAAGAAATCTGATTCTAGGTAACTCACGTAAACTGATTGGATCCGGAATATACGTCCGTAAGGATCTCTGTCTATCTGATCGTACTAAGAGACGAGCTGCAGAAGTGAAAATAAACGAAATGATGAAAAATACCTCGTTCTTAAGGGTTTTCAAATTGTAAAAGTTTGGAGCAAAACGATCCCCAAACCACTCTGGGTGGTAAGGGAAAGTTCTCCACAGAATTAACGGTATGCCACACAAATGCTCGCAGCCTACTAAGTAAAATGGCGGAGCTCAAGACAATGGTTGACCGATAAAAACCGGATGTTATTGCTGTCTCGGAAACTTGGTTAACGTCAGAAGTATTAGGTAGTGAAATCCAGTTGACTGGTTTCATAACCAGCAGGGCTGATAGATTAAACCGCGGGGAAGGCGGGGTTATTCTGTACACGAAAAGTACCCTAACCATAAGATTAGCTGAGACAGTAGCACATGTTCCAGGGACATGTGAACTGGTGAGATGTAAGTTGAAATGCCGACGGCAAGATATTGAATTAGTTGTAGTATATCGCAGTCCAGAATGTGTAGCAGATGATTTTATCCTAAGTAAACTTAAGTCCTGGTGTAATAGGGGTAAAAGTCTTGTAGTAGGCGACTTTAATGCACCACATATAAACTAGGTTAACTTTGAAGTAGGGTCATCCATATCATCGTTCGACTGCAAACTGTTAGAAACCTTGATTGGATTAGCATTATTCCAACACATTAGAGATCCCACAAGATACGACTTAAGAGACTCTTCCTCTCTTTTAGATTTAGTTTTCACACACGGTGATGACGTTGATCAAATGGCTTTTCTCCCACCACTTGGGAGAAGTGACCATGTAGTCATCTTATTCAAATTCATGGCTGAGATTGCCTGTCAAACAGTTGCACCGACCCGTCCCAACATATTGAAGGCAGATATGCAGACAATTAACTCCGCAGCATCGGCTGAAAACTAGGAAATTGACTCAAAGGCACCAGTACAAGAGGCATGGACTCTATTCAGTCAGTTATACAATCGGGCAACTCAACCATACATGCCCTGGACTGTCCCAAAGAAAAAGAAGCACGGACATCCCTGGATAGGGCGGGATATTCGACGTTTACTGAGACAAAAGAAGAAATGCTGGGACGTTGCCATCCGCCTTGGCACAGCAGGTACGATGGAACGCTACAGATCGATAAGAAACGAGTGTATAACGAAAATTCGGGAAGCTCAAAGAAAATATGAAATGCAGCTGGCACAATCTGCACTCAAGCAGCCCAAGAGAATATTCTCGTACATAAACTACAGAACAAGGATGCATCATTGGATTCCCAACCTAATTAAAGTAGGAAGTGAATCTGCAATGATAGAGGAAGATCAGGAAAAAGCAGAGGCTATGGCTGAATATTTGGGGGCAGTTTTCACTCAGGAACCTCTAGAGAAAGAACTAGACCCAAATACAGAGTCAACAAACCAACTATTTTTTCCAGAAGTTCAATTAGTTCATTCGGCATATCTGCAGCCATAAACGCTTTAACAGAAACGGATATCTCTTCAGGATCTTGGGTTTCAGAAAGTGCTGTCTGAACAACTTGATCAATTAATTGTCGACGGTAAATATTGGATTCACTCAAAGCTTCTGCCCACAGCTCCGGCTCCTTCCGTCTAACTAAGTAACGAGCTTCAGTTTTGAATAATGCGTTTTCATTGCAAACCTAAAAAATAAAGTCCACTTACAAAACAATAACAAGATTTTATTATAGGTAGATACAACATAAAACCACCAGATTTCAAAAAACTGAAAAACAAGTGGATTTAGGCATTAAATTAAAGTTGAAAATAATTTATTATATGCAAAACGTACTCTGATTTGATCTTGGTCACAATGTCCACGTTCATATGCAATACACGCCAAATGTGGATCACGCTTTTCACAGTATTTACCGACAACAGAGCTATTATAATACTGATTTTCTCTCAAGAAACGTTCAGGATTGTTATTAAGGTCAATGTAAATCTTTGCTAGGGCATTGTGTGTAGCAGGCTCAACAGAACCTTCATGTACACGTGATTCGAGCCATGGCAGTAATAACTTCAGCCGATTGCGCTTTTCCACCTCTGCAACAAGTTCATCAGTATTGAACTGACCTGCAAAAATGAATAAATAACGAGAGTGTTATACTTTATTAACTACTTCTTGAGCTTACAAGTAGGAAAAATTATAAACGTACCACGAACAACGGCCATCAACTGCTTTATTATATCCTCTGAACAATCAACATCTAAAAGACCTCCAACAACTACTGGTAAACGGGCTGGATTAACTTTTTGCACATAAATCTCAATGTATTTCTGCAAATTATTACGAAACAAATAAAGGACGAGATCATGAACAAAATCGAAGCGATCGCAGACAATAATAAGAGGTAATTGATCCGTAAGTTTTGCCTCCTGAAAAAAAGTATATGTTACATCATAAGAACCATAAAAGAAATCTGATTAATATTATTTAACAGAAATTGGAATATTAGCTGAAGGCATCAGTATTGGCAGCAATTTCCAGTAGCCGCAACTGTTCATGCTTACTTTTTTGAAATAGAACTACCAAACTTCCAAAATTAATATGAAGTCTAGAAGTACAGTCCTCACGAGAACTGCTTATTCTTATCACAGACCGGAGTTATGTATAGTATTAGGAAGTGCCTAACAAAAATCTCTCTGTAGAGATGTTAAAATGTCTGTTTCTTACATTAAACTTTCACCTTAGAGTGATCATGCAAGACTTGCATAAAAAGCCTAAACTGGATGTGCCAAATTATGAAATGGACCACCAAAGCTCTCACATAATTTAGCTGACTGTTACTCTTTACTTAATGTTAGGACGAAAGATAATTATCATTTAAATATATATCTATCATGAAACTACCACACACAAAATAAGTAAATCCTCCAGTACAGTGAAAACCTAATTTAGTGGTCACAGTAAAACCAGTTCATAGTACGAATTTAGATATATTTCGAATCAACACCACCTGTTATTGGATGAATTTTAACTAATAGAATGATACTTTGGAATTTAACACAATACGTATTAAACTCAGAATAAAACCACATTCCCAATTATTTTAATTATGAATATATTTTTAAATACAACTGAGCAATTCTTTATCAAAACTACTGGGATTGTGTAGTAATGATAAGATAAGCTCACGATTTTCTACATGCAATACCATCACTAAGAAAAATCCTTAATGAAGAGAATACATGTGTTTAGATAAATTGTAGACAACTGATGATTTAAACTTGTAACTAGAATCGGCTAGCATAAATGAAGTTGATTACCGCAACTTTATAAGTATATAATAAATGCATGAGAATAAATACTAAGATTATTACCTTAAGAAAATTTTTAACTCGTTCTGGTTCATAACAATTGCTTTCGCGACAAATACGCTCAACTTCTTTGACTTGTCCGGTTTTACAGGCAGCTTGAATATATTTAAAATGAACTTCAGGTTCTTGACTAAAATTAACAATAGAACCCAAAAAATAAAACAAGCCTTCAAATGATTTGAATGATTCGAAAATTTCGATAAGCGCATTTGTCCCCAACTGTTCGTGATACTTAGTAGCAATCTGGACACAGACGTGGAGATTTTGTCTAATGTTTGCCTGTAGCATAGCTCTCAAACACTCCAACGAATCATCGACAGAAAGTGAGCCAAAATAATTGACAAGCCACTATAAAATTTGTAAGAAAGAAACAAAAAGACTAGAAACATTCCGGATGAAAATAAGGCAAGTGAATGCTGACACCACATTTAAATACAAAAATTGGTTTAATACTTCTATAGACCAAAGAGAGAATCACTTAAACTTTCACATACATCTGGAGGAATGATGAAATAAACTATACATCAGTAAAAATTGACAAAATAGCTCAAACGATTGTCTTCTAAAATCAATAACAAACACTGTATATTTACCATTCGAAAATGTTTACCGGGTACAGTTCCAGGTCTTAATATGACACTATGGTGATAAGAAAATTGTTGGTAAACGATGGCAAGTACAAGAGAGGGCCACAAAGTGACGTAAACTGCACTCTAGTCCGTCGCGTGAATTCCGTATCATGTTGACGATTCTCTTAGTATGGAAGAAGGTTCCCTATGGTTTTCCTATCAGCAATGTAAAATTCTTTTTTATGATCAAGGAAGATGATGTACAGTGGTGGCTTTTATTCAATGGATTGTTCATCGATAGTCCGTAATGTCATGGTTTTTTTCACACGACCTATGCTTACGGAATCCAAACTGTTTATCTTGAATTTGGGCGTCTGCTGAGTTTGTCATCCGGTTCAGCGACACTGTTGAGAACTTTTCCCTGGTACTGACATTATGGTGTACCTCTGTAGTTCTCATATTTTCTCATACCTTTCTTTGGTATTTTGATTTGATATCCTTCTTCCCAATCTGTCGGCATTTGTTCCTCCTCTCAAATCTTCCTGAATGGATCGTATAATATATTTGCAGTTACTTCTATACCTGACTTCAGTGCTTCAGCTGGTAGTTTGTCAGGTCCTGATGCTTTTCCTCTCTTTATTTATCTGATGACCCGTCATCCTGATATATTCGGTCGTTGGTGGAGTGACGACTATAGGAATATATGTGAGTGCTGCTTCAATGTCCGATGGATTCAGTGGAGCTGTCCAATTCAAGAGTTTCTCAAGGTGTTTTACCCATTTGTTCCTCTGTACTTGAATCTCAGTGGTTGGCTTCCCTTCTTTGTCCTTGACTGGCCCCTCTTGTTTACTATATTTCCCTGCTAGTTTCTTCGTTATGTCATATAGTTGTCTCATACTTTGATCTCTTGCATTTTTTACCGCTGTCGTCTCAAAATGTTCCATGTATCCCTACTTGTCAGCTTTAATGTTCCTCTCCACTAGCTTGTTTGCTTCAGTGTAACCAGCTTGTACCTTGACTTTCTCTGTTTTTGTTCGGCAGTTGTTAATTTCTGTCTTCTTGTTCATTCTTTCTTGAATAATGTCCAGCGTCTCGACAGAGATCCATTCTTTATTATAGTGATACTTGAGGTCCAGTAGCTCCTGTCACTTTAGAGTTACTGCTTCTTTGATCCGTTTCTTGTTGTTCTGTATGAGGCTTGGAACCTGATGTTGAGAGCTATCTTGAATTCCTTGAGTTTGTCAGTATCTCGAAGGAAGGCCGTATTGAACCTTTGTAATTGTTTTCTCCAGTCGTCTAGTGTTCCTTCAGCCTTATTTTCATCCTAACAACCACCAGGTAGTGATCTCAAGCTGTGTCAACTCCTTTCTCTTTTCCTACGTCTTCGATTGTCCTTCTTATTTTTTTAGTGATGCAAATCTGATCAATCTGATTCTTTGTAGTGTGACTCGGTAAGAGCTACGTAACTTTGTGCATGGATTTGTGGAAGAATATTGTGCCACCAATTAAAATTCTGTTGAATGAACATAAATTTGGAAACCTGTCATCATTCTTGTTCCTTTCTCCCGGTTAGTTCAGGTTGTCTCATGATATATTCATTTGCGATGATGTCCATTCCGAATTCGGCGTTTAGGTCTTCTATTAGGATGGTCAGATTCCTTCCTGGCCACTTTGCTATGATCGATTGCAGCCTCTCATAGAACTGATCTTTATTGCCGTCATTGTTATCTTTGGTTGGCTCATCTCAATGGATAACAATCAATATGATTCTCTACTTTGTTTTGAAAGATGCTTTGATGATCCTGGATTCATGAGATTCCCATCCAACAAGCGCATTTCGTACTTTTGTGGACAGCATCAGAACCACTCCATGAGCGTGTGGGGTATTTTCGTCTTTGTGACCTGAGTACAGTGGCACCTCTTATGAATCTATCCTCTCCTGTTAGGCTCCACTTCACTGATTCCGAGCACCACTAAGTTGTATCTCCTCATTTCCGTAGCTATTTGACTGGTTCTCGCGGTATCACACATTATCCGGACATTCCATGTACCTATATTAATTGTTGCTTTGGGGCATCGGCCTTGTGACTTCGGAAGAATCTCGACTTACACCATGAGGCATCATAATTCTTTTTTCAACTCGGAGGGCAGAGTTTAAATGATTCAGTTTTCTTAATTTGGTTAGCGTTTTCTGACAAGGTTTTTTTCTATGGGATGGGGTGGTTGACCTCATGCCCAACACTCCTCTTTTACTCGGTTTTGGTACCGGCAGTACCCAAGCCATAGGTGGAGTTCCCCAGAAACGTGAATCCGAATTCCTAAAGATGTATAATAGAAAGATAAATAAAGCATCGAGTGTTATAGAACAAATCTTAAGGACTGTTGTAGTGTGTGTGATTCAGGTGATTGCGATTCTTCAACACTACCGTAGAACACTTCTGAACATACAACTATATTTTTTGTTGGTTACATACCAGGCCAAAGTCTGAGTTCAGGAAATGGGTTGTTTCATTTATACTGCATCATTAGGATGGGAATTAATTTACTCAAATAGAGAGAAAAGCGTGTCTACAAGAAATTCCTGAATGACAGTCTCCTGAAAACTAAGGTCCTTCACTCGGATTGTGTAACATTTTGAGGTACAATTGACGGGTGTAAATACGATAATTATCTTCCATTTCGTTGAGCACAACTTGCGTAAAAATCATTTTTTATGAGATAATCACAGGGGATTGACATTTATTCTGTCTGACTGCCAAGATGGTAAACGACATAAAGTCGTTTGTTTAACTGCTCCAATCTGGTAACTGGCGTCTACATTTCTTTCTCCGTCTCACCTAGTTTTTATCATTAGGTGTTATGGCTTCTCCACAGATGCCCATCAAATTTCAGGAACATTTGCAGGTTAGTATTATAATAAGCTATGAACAATCATTCATGTGTTATAGTTAGTTAATGTTGGAATTCAGCCTACCAGCATAGGATTTAGTACTTTGACTATGGAATCGGATAAGTTTATTTGTGTCAGGGAAACTACAGGTGAGACATCACAAGTTGTAATTATTGATATGAATGATCCAATGAATCCTACTCGTCGTCCTATATCTGCCGATACAATAATAATGAACCCCGTAAGCAAGGTAATGGCTTTAAAAGCTGGGAAGTTGTTACAAATTTTCAACATCGAACTGAAAAGCAAAATGAAGGCATACACCATGCCAGAAGATGTTGTATTTTGCAAGTGGATATCCGTGAACACCATTGCACTCGTAACTGCCACAAGCGTTTATCACTGGGCTATGGATGGTGATTCAAATCCAGTCAAGATGTTTGATCGTCACCAGTCTCTGACGTCTACTCACATCATAAGCTATCGTTGTGATCCAAGTCAGAAGTGGTTGTTGCTTATCGGAATAAATCCAGAAAAAAACCGAGTTGTTGGGTATATGCAGTTGTATAGCGTGGAGCGCAAAGTTAGTCAAGCGATAGAGGGCCATGCCGCTGCATTTGCTCGTTACATACTTGAGGGGAACACCAGTCCCACCACGTTGTTTTGTTTTGCCTCACGAAATGCTCAAGCGTGCAAATTACACATAATTGAAGTTGGCCAACCACCTGCAGGGAACCAACCATTTACTAAGAAAGCTATTGATGTTTACTTCCCACCAGAAGCTCAGACCGACTTTCCTGTTGCAATGCAGGTATGTAAGACGTCATCATTTTTCACTTTTAGACCTCGCCAAAGTACAGCATCATATACTTGATAACGAAAAGCGGGTACTTACACCTTTATGATATTGAAAGCGGATCATGTATATATATGAATCGGATAAGCAGCGAGACTATTTTCGTAACAGCTCCTTATGAACCAACTTCCGGTATCATTGGCGTAAATAAGAAAGGGCAGGTAGGATTTCTCGCTGGCATTTTTGTTTTGTTCAGTTTTAATTCCATGTCCCCCTACGTATTTCCTGTTATTTTAACATTACTGCTGTTTAGAAATAATTTGTGTACATTAACCCATTTTTTCAGTGGTCGGTGTCCTGAGTACTTATGTAAAATAGTTTATTCAGTATTTCTGTCTAGTTACATTATAATCAGTGACTTAACTAGCTGATGAATGTGTTGTAGCAATGGCTAGATATTTGACTCGATTGACGCTACTCTCTAAAATTTTGGAATTTCAACATAGAGATTTTCCTTTTATATTCATCTGCAGTGTGTGAGCGACTCAGGCCTACCAATCCAAATAAATAGCATTAGATCTATTAACTCCGTTTATGTGTACATGCACTGTCTGTAAATTAACTACTAGCTGTTATATATCGGTTTGTCGTTAGACAACCAGTATGAGTCATTATCGATAGATATCGTTTCTTACACCATAAATAATGACTCATTTATATCGAACAAAACATTACACGTAAATACGTTCGTAGCACTTATCACTCCATTATCTACAATAGCAATATCGTCTGAGGCATACTAGTTCCTACATCAATTGTCTTCCGCACAGACTGAAATTTTTATGCACATTAACCACTTCTAACCTCGATACTTCTTTACTGGATAGTAGCAAAAGACTGAATAACTGATCGACCATGAAAAGATCGACCGATTCCAGCTCTCAATATGAACTACGGGAAAATACGAATCTTTACAAGTTTCCCCATTTAACATCTGTACGGAGTTCCCATCTCTAAGTCATTAGATTTCTGGGCTTTGATTCTAGTGTACTTGTAGTCGGTGTGCAATACACCAACTAGTATGCGTATGACGGACAAATGATGGACTTTGTGTTCCAATAAATTGCTTCGTCATGTATGCTTTAATTGTAACTCCAAATTGATCTGCTTTTCATGCTCCTTGTGTTAATCCGTCGTTTACCAATGATTGACCACTTCTAGTAATAACATTATGTAATGTTGAAGTTTGGAGATAACTGAAACTATTCAGGGATGTTATCTTCAAACATGCTTTGGTACGTCTGATATTCTGTCTAGCGAATTCGGTACTAGGCTCTTGACTGATACGAAGGTTGAATAAAACAGGTGACTGTTAGCCGACTACTTGTCCCCATGTAATGCGGACTATTTATGAGATTAGGATTTGTGACAGTACGATAATCTATACCAGTAACTGATGTCCCACACTTTACGAGTAGGATTAGGCGCCCGGGCAGTATTTCAGCCCTCATACAAATCGAATCATTTGCGTGTGGATGAAAAGAAGGGACAATGTATTGTTCCTACCAAAGATCGAACCAAAGGACTAACAAAGCACTTATATGTTTATTACGAGATGCCATTCAGCGGGTGTTTTTGTTAAATCATGCTAGGTATGAGCAGTTTCGTACTTAATTTGGATCCTAAGTATTGAATAACACCTGTCCGTTTTGAATTCCACGACGCATTTTCTTATCCTTTCTGATAACTCGTGTAAAGATATGGTTCTGCCAGTTTTCGCTGTATAAACACCGTCTCCTTTGAATTTATCTGGAGTGTATGTTCAAAAGTTTGAGCATCAGCATTTGTCATACTCTTGTTTTAGGTATTATCCGTCAGTATCGATGAAGATACTATCATCAGTTACATAACCACTACATTGGAAAACCCTACACTTGCACTCCAAATGGCTTCCAGGTGCAATCTTCCTGGTGCAGAAGACTTGTTTTTCAAAAAATTCGATTCTCTTTTTCACTCCGGTCAATTTCTAGAAGCTGCAAAGTTAGCAGCTAATGCTCCTAAAGGTATTTTGCGCACTCCACAGACAATTCAACGTTTTCAACAGGTAGGTTTTTAATAAAAAATAAGCAAATTTTGGTACAATATATCTTATCTTACGTATAATAATGAAATATTTGCGACGGACGTCACCCTCCAATAATGCCAGTGCATCCAGTCAAGGGGTAAAAAGATCCTCACTATCATCATTAATCCTTAGTTATTTATGGTATTTCTAACGCTACATATCTGTTTAAAGGAAGTCAAGGTTCTAGACTATTGATTTTTGATTACAGCACCCATGGATTAACTTTACCCCTTATTCACCAGATTGCTTGGAAATACAGTTTATTATTTCGTTTCACGAAAACGATTACTGACCAGTAACAATTAAGCGTATTTCGGACCAGTTTTTGCGAAGTAATTCGTGATTTAATTCATCTCATTTTGCTCGTCTAGCATGTGAAATCCGTTTCTTATTCTTATAGATGTCAACTACACCAACGGTAGCATCGGCCCTGTCGAATTATTTTGGAATTCTACTTGACCAAGGTCAGCTTAACAAGTTCGAAAGTCTGGAGGTTTGTAGACCAGTTTTACAACAGAAAAGGAAACAGTTGTTGGAAAAGTGGTTGAAGGAGGACAAATTAGAATGTTCAGAGGAGTTAGGCGATCTTGTTAAGCAGGTAATTTTCCTTTTTTTCTGAATACTTACCCGTGATTCCAAAAATTACTGTGCGTAGTTAATTGAATCATGAGCACCAAAAACTTGCGGCAAAAAGTTTTGGAAAAATTATATTGTTATCCATAAACAAAATTATCACCTACTAGTTGGTTGTTGATAGATTCCCAAGTGTCTTCACTGGTTACGGCTCTTCAAAATTATTTTGGTTCAATTTGTCATCACATTCCACCAGCATATGGGTTTGAATGTTTGGAAAAAATTACTAAAGCTAGGTAGTGACGTTTTCACTTTCGATAGTTCTTAACTCATCATTTGGGAGGAGAATCACGAGGTTCATAATAGAAAATTCTGGCTTCTATCTAAAAGCTATCAGTACCACAGCTTGATACGAATATACCTTTTAAAATAGATGTCTCAATAATAATGATAATGTTCCTACCGTTTCTATGTTTTTTTAGGTGTTTAATACATTTTGTGCTCTCAGCTTCATTCTCACCTTTCTCATGAATTCAAATTTTTTAAGATGTGGAGGAGTACAGTCTAAGTTGACTAAACGGTGGTCCTTTTTTAAGTAAACTGGAAGGGTATGTAACTTGTGTACATAATACATCCAACCCGCCATTAATTATGGGGAAATGAGGAACCAAGGTTACTTTTATTTCATTTAAGTTACTTTAGGGTCGCTTGCCAATCATATCAGATTTTCACTTGTCACACTAAGTAGATATAATATTATAGTCATTTATAACGGCTATTAACTTTCATTATTTTTACAGGCGGACCCTACATTAGCTTTGTCCGTCTACCTAAGGGCCAATGTCCCACCAAAGGTTGTACAGTGTTTTGCGGAAACTGGCCAGTTTCAGAAAATCATCGTTTATGCAAAGAAGGTCGGCTACACACCAGATTATATTTTTCTGTTACGCAACCTAACTCGTATCAACCCAGACCAAGGTTTGCAGTTTGCCCAAATGTTGGTTCAGGATCAAGAACCTTTAGTTGATTTAGAACAAGTTGTAAATGTGTTTATGGATCAAGGTTTGGTGCAACAATGTACATCATTCTTACTGGATGCATTAAAGCATAATCGACCTTCTGAGGGACATCTCCAAACTCGTCTATTAGAAATGAATCTAATGTCAGCACCTCAGGTAAGTTACATGTTTAGTATATCTCGAGATTTGGTTTGATGTTAGTCACATTGTCATCTTGTATTTGCACAGGATGCCAGTGTGTCACGTCATTATGGGCACATTTTTGTTTTGAAACAGTGTTTTACCTTTTCAAACATCGACTTTTTGTAACTCCAGCAAAGAGAGGCTCACTATAAGACTACCTCTCGTTCCACAGAATATCTTTATTCTGATCATATCTGAGTGAATGTAGGTGTTTGCCCGAGTTTTGCTAAACTCCGAAAAGCCACAGTAAAAAGGTTCTTTAAAGCTCAACTTGATGAAGTCAAGAATATGTATCAGGAACAACCAGAGCAGTTAGTCAGCCGTAAAAGCCACATCTACTTCAAGATAGCTTGGCGTGATATTCAAACAGCAGTAATATCTGCCAGTAACTTAAACCAAAGGGTTAGGAACCATCATTGAATTTCGCTGGCGTCTAGTGAACTGTTTGATGCTCGGAAACTCACCTCATCTGGCTCCGGGCACGACTAAAAACAGAGGCAGTTTAAACATAGGTTGCTAAAAAGCCTACACAGTGATCGTTAGCAGTGGTGGATTGCAAAAGTAAGATATAGGAAAGGCGGAGGAAATAGGTATTAGTAGAAAACTATTCAAACTTATCAAGGAAACAGGTATTACAAATCCGGTTCTTAGTTAAGCTATTTCGAAATAAAAAATGTGACCATTATTCACTTTTATGAGCAACACAAATGAGAAAATAATGTAAGTTCCTCAACTCTTAACGAGGTTAAGAATGCTATGGATAATCTAAAGCGGGTGAGAGCAGCTGGGCCAAATGGATTAACCCCGGAAATATCTGTTCTTGGCTGTTCTGTTTTAGTAGTTAGATTGACCGAAATCTTAGCTAGTATCTAGGGACTGAACGTGGCCCCATTTGATTGGTGTCGATCGTTGATCGTCCTGGTTTATGAGAAAAGACAAAAATCTTGTGACGATCACAAAGGGATGTTTGACTAACGTATCAGCTTCAGTCAATAATAACCCGACTACCTGATTGGTGTCTTTACGACTATCGTAACCAATCATTTGAGACTTAGTGATATAACGGACAATCATCCTCAATGAAACAGGTACACTCACTTTTTTCCTTTAGTTCTCAAATCTCCTTATACCTTTTGTTTTTTCCCCACACCTTTTCTACTACGGCCACTACTACTAATGCTGTTAGTACTAGGTATATACAAGTCTTTAGTTGTCGAACAGTATCTTCGGTTTTATATCATTATAACTAACCTTATTAATCTGTTGTGGGTTTGTGTCGTTACACAAATGTAGAACAAAATGAGAGATACATATCTTAGCTAAAGATTCGGTTGAATTTGATAATTATGTTAATGAACATACGAGCTCTATGCAAATTATCACATAACTGTGATGACCAGACACGAAATGCTTATTGTATGTAATTCATGATTTTGTTTATATGTTTCAATTGACCGTGTTGAATGTTAGTATTTTGTAAAACTAATGACCCTAGTTATTCTAAATCTAATAAATAAGGGTATAAATAAAGTAATAAACCTGCATTGGCTCTTGCACTATTCGATTATCTTTATGGATATGTAGAATTTCTTTTTACTCGTTCGGAAAATATGTTCTATATGGTAACCGGTCTTGATACCCTTCAGGTTGCGGATGCAATTTTGGGCAACCAAATGTTTTCGCATTATGATCGGGCAGCTATTGCTCAGTTGTGTGAGAAAGCGGGGTTGTTGCAGCGGGCTTTGGAACACTATACTGATCTTTACGACATCAAACGGGCTGTCGTAAGTACACATTTATTAAATCATGAGGTAAGTACATTTACTTGTAATCTTAATTTGTTGTACGTGTCCTGAATTTAAATAGCCTTGAAAATCAGTGTGGTATATATGTGTTTTCTTCAAACTGCTTTGCTCAGTTCAATGATAACTAGGCCTAAACTATATACTTATGGACTCAAATAGCTTTTTAGATGCCTGTGTCCAGACAGCAAACGTTTTGAATAAGATATTTTAGAGAAAATAACATATTTCCAGGTTTTCCAAATATAAAGATGATTTGGAAGCTTTTATTGTACTGTATTTAGGTCACGAGTGCCCATAGCCATTTTTAAAATATTCTCAATGTAAGTTATCTGGTTTGCAGTTTCGTTCTGTTGATGAATTGTGAAGGTTATGAGATGCTAATTTAAATATGATATTCCTACATACTGATAAAAAAATCATCTTGCCGAACTGATTTTGGATAGCAGAAAAGTTATACCTGAATATTCGGACTGTTCTTTCATTATCTGTACAACACGAAATTATGTTTATTCATCGATATGTGGTCGCGACAGCATTAATTCAAGCCAAGGATATTAATTTCATTTACAGTGCTTTATTTTCTGACAGATTAAAATGAAACCAGTACGACTATATTTCCTCTCCATGTCTTCATTGAATTTTATTGCCTCTTTTATATACAAGTGTTAAAATGATACACTGTTGTTAACAATATTGTATACTTTTATGAGTTAGATGAAAATACCGTAATAAATTATAATCTCGCATTGTGATTCCCATTACCACAGTATCAGGGTTAGTTCAGCAGTTTCTCCAGTTCATAAGCATATTGAATTGAGTATAAATTCCTCGCAAGCTCACGAATCACTCCCTTAATCCATTGGTTATAATTTCCTTTATTTATGATATACACTGAAGAATTTTTTGTGGTCTTTGTAACAGTTACTAGGCAAATGGTAGATATCTAAATGTTCGTGATTATATGATTTTCTAACACAAATGTCAATGTCTTTTAGACTTACAGTCACTAATTTTACTTCCACACATTGTATTTGCGCACTACTAGTTGGTAGACTAGTTTTCGACTTGGACGTAGTTGTATAGACCAGATATTCACACTACTTCAGGTTCTAGAACACAGACACACGTTCAGACGCCCCACAATCGTAGTATTTTTCGACCTTAAGGCAGCATTCGACTCTGTTGATCGTGAGGTTCTATGGCAATGTTTGTCATTGAAAGGCGTACCAAAGAAGTACATTAACCTTGTAAAGACTCTCTGCTCGAACACAAATGGTCAAGTGAGGGCTTATGGCGAACTGTCACCAGAATTGATTACTTCAAGTGGTGTTCGTCATGACTGCCTTTTCTCCATTCTTGTTCAACTTTGTCGTCGACGTACTTTTAGAGATAACACTTTCCTCGTCTAAATTTCCAGGGGTTAAACTTCTACCGGGAGGTTCACTTGTTGACTTAGAATATGCTGATGACGTAGTTTTACTTGGTGAAGACGCTGACAAAATGCAGTCTTATGACCATTCTAAGCAACAAAGTGGAAGATAATTATCGTATTTACACCCGTCAATTGTACCTCAAAATGTTACACAATCCGAGTGAAGGACCTTAGTTTTCAGGAGACTGTCATTCAGGAATTTCTTGTAGACACGCTTTTCTCTCTATTTGAGTAAATTAATTCCCATCCTAATGATGCAGTATAAATGAAACAACCCATTTCCTGAACTCAGACTTTGGCCTGGTATGTAACCAACAAAAAATATAGTTGTATGTTCAGAAGTGTTCTACGGTAGTGTTGAAGAATCGCAATCACCTGAATTACACACACTACAACAGTCCTTAAGATTTGTTCTATAACACTCGATGCTTTATTTATCTTTCTATTATACATCTTTAGGAATTCGGATTCACGTTTCTGGGGAACTCCACCTATGGCTTGGGTACTGCCGGTACCAAAACCGAGTAAAAGAGGAGTGTTGGGCATGAGGTCAACCACCCCATCCCATAGAAAAAAACCTTGTCAGAAAACGCTAACCAAATTAAGAAAACTGAATCATTTAAACTCTGCCCTCCGAGTTGAAAAAAGAATTATGATGCCTCATGGTGTAAGTCGAGATTCTTCCGAAGTCACAAGGCCGATGCCCCAAAGCAACAATTAATATAGGTACATGGAATGTCCGGATAATGTGTGATACCGCGAGAACCAGTCAAATAGCTACGGAAATGAGGAGATACAACTTAGTGGTGCTCGGAATCAGTGAAGTGGAGCCTAACAGGAGAGGATAGATTCATAAGAGATGCCACTGTACTCAGGTCACAAAGACGAAAATACTCCACACACTCATGTAAAATAACCCATGACATTACGGACTATCGATGAACAATCCATTGAATAAAAGCCACCACTGTACATCATCTTCCTTGATCATAAAAAAGAATTTTACATTGCTGATAGGAAAACCATAGGGAACCTTCTTCCATACTAAGAGAATCGTCAACATGATACGGAATTCACGCGACGGACTAGAGTGCAGTTTACGTCACTTTGTGGCCCTCTCTTGTACTTGCCATCGTTTACCAACAATTTTCTTATCACCATAGTGTCATATTAAGACCTGGAACTGTACCCGGTAAACATTTTCGAATGGTAAATATACAGTGTTTGTTATTGATTTTAGAAGACAATCGTTTGAGCTATTTTGTCAATTTTTACTGATGTATAGTTTATTTCATCATTCCTCCAGATGTATGTGAAAGTTTAAGTGATTCTCTCTTTGGTCTATAGAAGTATTAAACCAATTTTTGTATTTAAATGTGGTGTCAGCATTCACTTGCCTTATTTTCATCCGGAATGTTTCTAGTCTTTTTGTTTCTTTCTTACAAATTTTATAGTGGCTTGTCAATTATTTTGGCTCACTTTCTGTCGATGATTCGTTGGAGTGTTTGAGAGCTATGCTACAGGCAAACATTAGACAAAATCTCCACGTCTGTGTCCAGATTGCTACTAAGTATCACGAACAGTTGGGGACAAATGCGCTTATCGAAATTTTCGAATCATTCAAATCATTTGAAGGCTTGTTTTATTTTTTGGGTTCTATTGTTAATTTTAGTCAAGAACCTGAAGTTCATTTTAAATATATTCAAGCTGCCTGTAAAACCGGACAAGTCAAAGAAGTTGAGCGTATTTGTCGCGAAAGCAATTGTTATGAACCAGAACGAGTTAAAAATTTTCTTAAGGTAATAATCTTAGTATTTATTCTCATGCATTTATTATATACTTATAAAGTTGCGGTAATCAACTTCATTTATGCTAGCCGATTCTAGTTACAAGTTTAAATCATCAGTTGTCTACAATTTATCTAAACACATGTATTCTCTTCACTAAGGATTTTTCTTAGTGATGGTATTGCATGTAGAAAATCGTGAGCTTATCTTATCATTACTACACAATCCCAGTAGTTTTGATAAAGAATTGCTCAGTTGTATTTAAAAATATATTCATAATTAAAATAATTGGGAATGTGGTTTTATTCTGAGTTTAATACGTATTGTGTTAAATTCCAAAGTATCATTCTATTAGTTAAAATTCATCCAATAACAGGTGGTGTTGATTCGAAATATATCTAAATTCGTACTATGAACTGGTTTTACTGTGACCACTAAATTAGGTTTTCACTGTACTGAAGGATTTACTTATTTTGTGTGTGGTAGTTTCATGATAGATATATATTTAAATGATAATTATCTTTCGTCCTAACATTAAGTAAAGAGTAACAGTCAGCTAAATTATGTGAGAGCTTTGGTGGTCCATTTCATAATTTGGCACATCCAGTTTAGGCTTTTTATGCAAGTCTTGCATGATCACTCTAAGGTGAAAGTTTAATGTAAGAAACAGACATTTTAACATCTCTACAGAGAGATTTTTGTTAGGCACTTCCTAATACTATACATAACTCCGGTCTGTGATAAGAATAAGCAGTTCTCGTGAGGACTGTACTTCTAGACTTCATATTAATTTTGGAAGTTTGGTAGTTCTATTTCAAAAAAGTAAGCATGAACAGTTGCGGCTACTGGAAATTGCTGCCAATACTGATGCCTTCAGCTAATATTCCAATTTCTGTTAAATAATATTAATCAGATTTCTTTTATGGTTCTTATGATGTAACATATACTTTTTTTCAGGAGGCAAAACTTACGGATCAATTACCTCTTATTATTGTCTGCGATCGCTTCGATTTTGTTCATGATCTCGTCCTTTATTTGTTTCGTAATAATTTGCAGAAATACATTGAGATTTATGTGCAAAAAGTTAATCCAGCCCGTTTACCAGTAGTTGTTGGAGGTCTTTTAGATGTTGATTGTTCAGAGGATATAATAAAGCAGTTGATGGCCGTTGTTCGTGGTACGTTTATAATTTTTCCTACTTGTAAGCTCAAGAAGTAGTTAATAAAGTATAACACTCTCGTTATTTATTCATTTTTGCAGGTCAGTTCAATACTGATGAACTTGTTGCAGAGGTGGAAAAGCGCAATCGGCTGAAGTTATTACTGCCATGGCTCGAATCACGTGTACATGAAGGTTCTGTTGAGCCTGCTACACACAATGCCCTAGCAAAGATTTACATTGACCTTAATAACAATCCTGAACGTTTCTTGAGAGAAAATCAGTATTATAATAGCTCTGTTGTCGGTAAATACTGTGAAAAGCGTGATCCACATTTGGCGTGTATTGCATATGAACGTGGACATTGTGACCAAGATCAAATCAGAGTACGTTTTGCATATAATAAATTATTTTCAACTTTAATTTAATGCCTAAATCCACTTGTTTTTCAGTTTTTTGAAATCTGGTGGTTTTATGTTGTATCTACCTATAATAAAATCTTGTTATTGTTTTGTAAGTGGACTTTATTTTTTAGGTTTGCAATGAAAACGCATTATTCAAAACTGAAGCTCGTTACTTAGTTAGACGGAAGGAGCCGGAGCTGTGGGCAGAAGCTTTGAGTGAATCCAATATTTACCGTCGACAATTAATTGATCAAGTTGTTCAGACAGCACTTTCTGAAACCCAAGATCCTGAAGAGATATCCGTTTCTGTTAAAGCGTTTATGGCTGCAGATATGCCGAATGAACTAATTGAACTTCTGGAAAAAATAGTTTTGGACAATTCAGTATTTTCTGATCATCGCAACCTTCAAAATCTTTTAATTCTAACTGCAATTAAAGCTGATAAAAGTCGTGTCATGGAATACATTAACCGCTTAGATAATTATGATGCTCCAGATGTTGCTAACATAGCCATCAATAATTCTCTTTTTGAAGAAGCATTTGCCATTTTCAAGAAATTTGAAGTCAACACATCCGCTATACAGGCAAGTGTTTTATATGTTTAGTTATATTTTGTTTATATAGAGGTATTCTGTTAGTGGACGTGGTAAATTGATTTGACGTTGTATTGCAGACTGCCTGAAAACTATCTTCTGCATCACTAGTTTCGACCTATGTATCTTATTATCGTACATTTGAGAGTATGCAATTTAAATCGTTTATTTATGATAGAACCTATGTACGCTGGTTAGGTATTCATCTTCAGTATTGCATTTTAAGCTTTACGTAAACGTTCGAATTTACGTGATTACGGTGTCCGTTCCTTCAATATGACTGATAAATATGGATGTTTCGTTGTCTGGTCAACTACCTACCCACACAGAGAACACCAACGCAATCACACTTGATGGAAAAACTCTGAAAGAGGTGGAAACATTTACGTATCTGACCAGCATAATCGATGAACAAGTAGGATATGGTGCAGACGTAAAGGCAAGGATTGTCAAAGCAAGGGCGGCATTTTTACAATCGAAGAATATATAAAACTCAAAACAACAGTCAGCCAGTATCGAAGTCAGAATTTTCAATACGAATATCAGGACAGTTCTACTGTACGGCGCTGAAACTTGGAGAACTAATACAACCATCATCAAAAAGTATAGATATTTATAAACAATTGACTACGCAAGATACTGAATATCCGTTTGCCGCATGCTATCAGCAACAGCCTTCTGTTTGAAAGAACAAATCAACTTCCAACTAAATAGTTAATTAATAAAAGACTCGGGAAGTGGACAGGAGATACACGGCGGAAATTACTAAACTGCATCACGAAGCAATCTCCAACTTGGAATCGTGAAGGGAAAAAGAGAAGAGGAATAGCAAAGAACACATTGAGTTGGGAATGTGAGACAGACGTGAAGAGTATGGTTAGCACTTGGAAACAACTAGAAAGGATAGCCCAGGACAGAGTCCAATGTAGAATGCTGGTGAGCGGCTTATGCTCCTCTACGAGGAGTTACAGACTAAAGTATGTATGTAAGTCAGTGGTTTAGTAGCTAAGTCTCTTGAACCACGCCCTACCTACTTTGGTTCGAGGAACCGCATATTGTCATTAGGCTCTACATTTAAAGTATGGCTCATACCCAAGTGCCCGGAAGGTGAGTTTATTTAGTTTAAAAACACCTCATACGGTTGACTGTTCATAATCATATTCCTCTCTTGTAATGCAAAAGTTAAGCCAAATTTCGTTTTCGGGTTTTCATCTGAACGTATCTGCTGTACAAATAAATGTCATTATTATTTTACCAACGACCGTTATGCTGTTTTTTCACTCTCGTGGTTTGTTTCTAGGTTTTGATTGACCATGTCAAAAATTTTGATAGGGCCTATGAATTTGCCGAACGTTGTAATGAACCAGCTGTCTGGAGTCTTCTAGCGCATGCTCAGTTAGCTCAGGGCTCCATAAAAGAAGCCATTGACTCATATGTGAAGGCGTCTGATCCTAGTCGATTCCAAGCAGTTTCCGAAGCTGCTTCAAACTCTGGTAATTGGGAAGATTTAGTTCGTTATCTCCAAATGGCACGAAAGAAAGCCCGTGAGACGTTTATTGAGTCAGAGCTCGCCTTCGCCTATGCAAGGACTAATCGTTTGTCAGATCTTGAAGAGTTCATTTCAGGACCAAATCATGCCAATATCACTGTTGTAAGTATCATATTTTAGTATTTTCTTAAAATAACTTCATAATTTCAAGTTCCAGTAGTACATTTGATATCGTTTTTGTCGAATTATGCTTAGTGCTTTCGGGTATTCGAATCTCATAGAATCTCAATATACCTGGTTTTTGTATGTGGATAATTTAGTGAACGTTTCTCTTACTTTTTAGGTAGCCGATCGTTGTTTTGACCAACAACTATACGAGGCAGCTAAGATATTATATTCGAACGTTAGCAACTATTCCCGCCTAGCAATAACTTTGGTTCACTTAGGTGAGTATCAGGGATCTGTGGATGCTGCTCGAAAAGCAAATTCAACACGCACTTGGAAAGAAGTATGTTTCGCTTGTGTAAATCACAAGGAATTTCGTTTGGCTCAAATGTGCGGTCTACATATTGTTGTACATGCAGATGAATTAGGCGATCTTATTAATTACTATGAACAACGTGGTCACTTTGATGAACTTATTCAACTTTTAGAAGCTGGTTTAGGTTTGGAACGGGCACATATGGGAATGTTCACTGAGCTGGCAATATTGTATTCAAAGTTTAAGCCAGAGAAAATGCGGGAACATTTGGAGCTTTTCTGGTCTCGCGTCAATATTCCAAAGGTAATTTCAATATATTTCCGGAAATTTCATCATACTTATCAGTTGCAAAAATTCTTGAAACGTAGATCACAGGCTAATCGAAATTGCAGTAAGTAGCGTGGAAGTAATCAGGATATAATTGGCGAGTTCAGATACATACAGATGGGTCTGAGTTGAGTGCCCTATGAAACAATAGAATGTTTAAAAAATAAGCGACGTAAAATCAATATTAGACTAAATAATTTAAAAATAAGTGAGTTTTCGTAAATCGTTTGTTACTTTATAAGTAAATGCAGCATTATGTCTGAACTGAATATATACCTCATAGTATCTACTCTAAAATCATGAATGTTATATTCAGGATTAACAGGACTTCTCCAACCAATATACCTGATTTTACAAAAGATGATCACACAGTAAATACGTACGCTCGTGTTCATAGGCAAGAGGATATGTTTTTAGGACAAGTTGTTGGTGAACACACAGTTTTCTACCATTCCCGATGTTGCCAGATTGTGTTCAGTTTAGTAGACGTAGGTCGTGATGTATTCTATGGTTTTAAAACCCATAAATCATTTGTCAGTAAAAACTGGCACATTTACTTTAGTTTTGCAGATGTATCAGTTGATCACTGTGAACATGTTACTAGTTTAAATACAGTTTCTCATTTATCTTAGCCGTTTTTGTAACTCATGAATTTCTCTTGATATTTGCCCTTTTAGCACTCCAGCGAAATCATTTGATTTATTTGTAATACATGATTGTTCTAGTTAATTTTGTTAATCCATTAAATAAATATTTTCCTCGTACAGTGCGTTCACCACCAATTCTTTTCAATTCTTTTGGGCAAATACACATAAAGTTTTATTGAGTTATGTTGTATTATTTGTCTTTTAGTGTTATAGTTATTTGTTGATATCTGCAAATTATCCTATTTTTTCTGTTTGATTTAGGTTCTTCGTGCTGCTGAACAAGCCCATTTATGGTCGGAGTTAGTATTTCTTTATGATAAGTATGAAGAGTATGATAATGCGATTCTTACAATGATGAATCATCCAACTGAAGGATGGAGAGAAAATCATTTCAAAGACTTAATAACACGAGTTGCTAATGTAGAATTATATTATAAAGCGATCCAATTCTACTTGACTTACAAACCGCTGCTTTTAAATGATTTACTCACGGTTTTATCACCACGTTTGGACCATACACGTGCAGTAAATTTCTTCATCAAGGCAGGGCATATTGCTCTAGTTAAACCTTATTTGCGGTCTGTTCAACAAAATAACGCAAATAATAAATCAGTCAACGAGGCTTTAAACGATTTGTTAATCGAAGAAGAAGATTATCAAGCAAGTTTCATGTTTTATATTTATGAAGTTTATCTCTGACAGGTGGCTTCCTTTTTCGTTAGTTAACAATCTATTCTGTTATATTCATCACTAGTTGACTGATTCGGAGGTAATTTTAAAATAAAATTCTTCTCTACTGAATTTACTTCATTAACATATGTAACAAAGCGTTTGTTGTAAAAGCTTTTCTCTCCCAACCAATAAGTCGCAGGTCCTAACGACGCTACACAAACTTTATGTCTAATATGAGTATGGGAACCACCAGTGGGCAAATAAGTTACATTAAAATATTTCAAATTATTGTGATATTTATGTGTAAATAAATATAAAAGTTTTTATAACTGGGGACTACTACTCGCTTTTAACTCTGCAAGTTTTTAAAGTTATTTTTTTACGTTTTATTTTCTTTTCAGGCTTTAAGGCAATCTATTGAAACTCATAGTAACTTTGATCATATTGCGTTGGCTCAACAGTTAGAGCGTCATGAACTCATTGAATTCCGTCGTCTTGCTGCTTTACTGTTTAAAGGTAGTAATCGGTGGATGCAAAGTATCGACCTATGTAAACGTGATCAGTTGTATTCTGTAAGTTCATTTTGTGATATGCTTCATTTCCTTTGATAGTTGCAATGATGACTCATAATATCGAATAAACCATTCGGTCCAGTACATTTTCCACTTTTTGGAATCCAGGGTATAATTTTTAAAAGCTTCTCATTTGATATATTTTTTCCTCAGGTTTTATAGTTGGACTTGGAAAAGTCTAAGTAGATAGCTAGACGATTTTATGGTACTAATCTTGATTTACTTGCTTTTCTACGATAACTGGGCTGTTGTATGGTTTACATTTATTACTATTAGTGAACTATTAGGTTTATGAGGTCTTACTTTCAAATCCCTTGTTTTAAACTAAAATATTTGCAGTTAAAAGTGTTCTATAAATCGCGAATTGAATGATCTGGATACTTCATTATCCATTTAGCTATAAACCATTTTGATTTACAACATGAACTCTCGTTATTATGTTTGAGGCATTAATTCAAAATACTTGTCCTTTGTTTTATTGTCTGTATGATCCGAATTCATTTTCGATGGTTTGGTGATGGTTTTCAATATAAGTATTTTTCATTTCCGTTTGATTCACTAAATTTACCGGGAATTTATGTGTGCTGTTACAACATTGTTTTCGAATGAGTTACTTTCAGATATATGTAATGGATTATGTAACCGATACTATTAATTTTTAGGACGCCATGCAATATGCCTGGGATTCTCGGGATCCTGAGACAGCTGAGGAATTACTTCGTTGGTTCCTTTCCGAAAATCTTCCAGATTGTTTTGCAGCCTGTCTCTACCGTTGTTACGATCTACTGCGTCCAGATGTTGTCTTGGAACTTGCTTGGCGCAATGGACTTATTGACATGGCTATGCCATTCTTAATTCAAACTTTGAGAGAATTAACAACAAAAGTATGTTGTGTATTGATAAGTTTTCCTGTTTCGATTGCTTTGTTTTATTTATTGTTTCTTTCACTTGTTAAAACCGTTGTCTCTTAAATTCACTTTTTTATGGCGCCTATTTAATTGGGGAATTATTGATAGAAGAAGCATTGAAATAGGTGGTAGTATTTATAAAAACACTATATAAGTAACCAAAATCTCATTTCCTTGCTAATTTTTCAATCAGGTGGATCGTCTAGAACGCTCCGAACAAACACGTGCTGCGGAAGAAGAGAAAGCTGAACAGGCAGTTAATCCGCTAGTGATGCGTAAGTTTTTTCCTGAAATTGTTCTGTGAACTTTTATAATTGATATTACTTAAGAGTATCCTAATAAACCACAGAAAATCAAGGATCAGTTCTTAACTGAAGATAGTGATTTTTAGGCTAATTCAAACTTTTAACATATTTTCTTTCCTTATTTAGGAACTGAACCTCAGCTAATGTTACCAGGACCAGCAGGATCTATGCCAGCTGCCTTAATCCCACCAGCGGGCGCAGCGATTGGGATGTTTGGAGTTACTGGCCCACAAATGTATTATCAAACAAACGGACCATCTTTTTAAAATGGTTTTTATCTATTGTGATACATTAAACTTGTTATCAGACTGTTATCTGTTTATTACTTATATAATTTTTTCTTTATCCGAAATGTGCTGGTTTCCTGTTTTAAAGTTTAATCTATCTGCCAAAATTTCCAACTATTGATAATTGGTTGTAAAAGGTGGGTTTTTAATCAAAAGTTCCATGTTTATGACCATGTTAAAAGTCTCAAATTTGCTTAAATAGTTTATTTTCTACTGGTTCTGAAACTGTGCTTTCTTTGATTAGTGATTGGGAACCTACAAAACATGATTATCTAAAAATTGTATAGTATTACTATATATAAACGTTAAATAGCTTGTAATTGATGAAGTCATGGAAATCTCAACTTTTGATATGGTTGAATGCTCTACGGATTTCTGTTTGGATTGTTTCGCTTCAGTGATTTCCATTCATTCGCTATTAATCAACGTAAACACTGAATGGATTGTGCAAAAGTTGTTAATTTTAAAAATTCTACCGAATGTTATTTTTAACGACGAGTGGTCATGTATGGGACCAATAACGAAAATCAATATATGCTGTATGGCTTTTCTATTGTAGATATCACTACTTGTCAGATGACTGAATTTATTTTGTTATTTTGATGTGATTGTACTAGGTTTTTAATTAATCTCTATTAAGCGGCTGATATTTTCAGTGCGATATAACTTGGGCTTCTATATCACATAGAACAATTATATTAATTTTCCTTTATGCTTTCTGATTGTCAGCTACCTTAAAAATATAGCTTGTAAACATCTAGATAAGTAATGTAACAAATCGAATTCGCATGACAAAACTATTGCCTCATAATGTGTGTATTTAATTGGATGTATCCTGCTAAACCTTCAATAACAAGAAAATTCTAACTCATTATACAATCATAGCTGATGCTGTGCTCTACGGATTCACACAAGTAATAAGTGGTACATCCTGGTTTGAAGCACTTAGGCCTTAGCGTAATAATATCTCATCATCTTCACTGCGTTCTCAAGTTTTGAGTTAACCATGTTATTTTCATAAATTGGTTAACGTTAAGATTTTTGTGTGTATAAATAAGGACGGGAAATTTGAAAGTTCTGAACATTTGTAATCAACAGAAGTTTACTTACAATTATAGTCTTAATAAAATAGTTGTTCTCTTCATTGTTTTTTTTCCGAAACCATTATCTATCCATTCGAAGCGATTTTATTTTTTATTACATCGTTCACTTTTTAATAGCGTGATTGTATATATATGTGCTTTCGCAGTTATTTCACAAGGGTACTCTTGTTTTTCATATTTTTTTCCTTTCTTAGGCGCCTCTTCCTCTCCAATTAAAGAGTACTCGAAAGAGATGCAGCCTTCTGCAATGATTAATTTTTAAAATTTGTAGTAAAAGTAATTATGTAGCGTAAACGAACCGTTCATTTGTCAACGGTTAAGATATGTTTCATGTATCAATATTGTATTAATATGATTGACATATGTTTGTGATTGTTTCTCTGAATATGTTAGTATATTCACATTCTAAACATTTCCCAACTTTAAAATTAATGTATTCTCGTTCGAATGAGGGAACGTCTATTCATTCCATTTATGTCCAGTCTTTTTGGCCAATTCATCAAATCATTGTTGCAACTAATTCATTACTTATTTATTCATAATAATTGCTCTTATTGTAATAATTTTTTCTTCGTAGGTCATTTTCTGTTTTTTCTTTCTCAGTGGTGTCTATCACCCACTTTTTTAAAAACTTCGTGTGACGCGTTATAGGGATGCTCACGTTCATCATTATATTTATTATCCTTTGGAGCTTGAACAAGTAGTAAATTACTCAATATACTTGAAATTGAATATCACTGTTTGAGAACTTATTAATTCGTCTGTATTTATAATCTAAACGTACTCCTATACATCTGATATTATCCACTTATAATGAAGTCTCTCATCAGAAAATATATATGATTTCACAGTTTTGAATGTCAATTTTGATATTTCGGGATATTAATCTTCCGTTGAATTTACAGTTTCTTGTTTATTAGACTAAGTAAATATTGATTATTACGGTATAGGAACACTGTATTGTTTGTGATATTAGCACATATCAATTCAAGTGCTATGGAATTATTTTTAATGAACTGGTTTCACGTTTTTCATTCTTGGTCGGATTAATCTTACTATACTAATCACAAACTAGCTTTCAGCTGTTCAATGGGTTATATAAATATACGTATTCCACATTTCACTCTCGTGCTAAGTAGATCTTAATAATAGTAACATGGCATTATCACTGTTAATTTTTTTCAGAATTTTAAATGTCGATGTTATTTTATGTTGTTTTGACGATTGTTTTGTTACTAATGATTTGTCTAGTTTTACTGATCCCATGGGTTATTAGGGACTTTTTATATATATCGAGCCGTAGATAGTATAATTATGATTTACTGTTACCCCCAGTACATGTGTCTGTTCGAGATTTGGATATTTGGATATTTTTCGGATCTTAATATATTTGGTGATTCAGTGGAAGAAACTAGAAGCACCAACTTAGTATCTTTTATATGCACATTTACGGGACAATTATCCAACTTGGCGCGGACGAATTCAAAGTTAATTTCTTCCTAAACATTTATGTATAGTTGCTTAGATATCGCCTAACTAGAGCTCAGATATTCCTAAATAGAAACGTTTCCACTTATGAAAATAACATATATCAGCACGACTTTTAGCCTGCAGAAAATAAGCTTACTATAATCAGAAAAATGGAAAAACTACGTGATACTTGTACGTTTAACATATTGTGTTGGATTTAATAGCAATCTAGTGCATTATGTTATGTTCTGCGATTTAAGAATATTGACTGGTTTTTTACTCAGTAAAACCATGTTTTCATTTAAAGGTAAAGGTTGTAATTCCCACTAAAAATCTACCGGAAGTGGAATGGAATTGTGAAACCTGACCACTCCGAATTGGTGTTCTCTATAGTTAGTCGATTTCTTGCTTTAGTCTCATTCACATCTTACGGTTTGTTACTCTGGTTCACAAAGTTCATAGTTCTGTTTTGCACTTATTTTTGTAGGTCATAGAGATAATGATCGTCTATTGATTGAAACAAGAGGAATGTCTTTCATTATTGAATGTAGAATGTACTCTCAGATATCACCTTTCGTAATTGGTAAATCTGTTATCTTAATGGTATGGAGTACTACTCGTAATTTACAAGTTTTAAATAAAATTAGTGACTAGATAATCGGAGGATAATGATTGAGCACTAGTCACATAGTGAACGGATAAAAATTTCCCTTTTTCGCAATGCTTTTTTGACAATCCTAATGAAGATATCTGGAGGGCTTTGCATTTTGCATACTGCTTTATCTTGGGAATTCTTGATGTCTTCATAAAATTGTTTAACTATCGTTTTTGTCCTCAACGGAATTTTCATTAAATTCCATGTGATTACTTGTGATATTAATCTACCGTATATCACTATCGCTAAACAGCTATAATAATTATCTACAATACGAGATATTCCTTTCCAATATTTTTAAATTGTTGAAAAATAATGACCTTATCGGGGAACTCAAGTATACGATCCTAATAGACCTCGCAAAATTGGATTAATGGAACTGTTACTCCATGTATGTTTTCTCAGCCCTGTCAGAGTTAGACTAACACTTAGTGGATGATGTTAGTTAGCCACTGAGCAATGGCATAGTTTTTGAATTAACTAATTATGCGGAGCTGATGTGAAGGTAGCATATATCTTACTAGTTGCACATAGCATGCACTGTGTGCTTTTCACTGATATGACTACATTTCCTGCCAGCGCAATATCTTTTTGTGTAGAGGAATTTGTCTAATAAATTCGATGTCAGCTTCACAGTCGTAATCTCGTGGATGGCTTGCTTCATCAAATCAAGATAAAGGTATAAGTTCGTAATGGAAATAGGATTAGTCGTATTCTTAACTACTTTGTTAATTTTTTATCGTTCCAACGGTGGTTATTCCCGTGTAGTTATTAACAGGCATTGCTCTCTTGCGCAGTACAAGGAAACGTATTATCGGGCATTCGCTCACTTCGAAACTTTATTCATAACTACCAGTAAAAAATAGTGATTTACACACCTGTAATAGTCTTGATTATGCGTAAGCTTTTGCCCAAAGGTTGTTGCAATTAAAGACAACTTCAAATCATTCGCTAAAGTGACTACCTGGTTCATAAGTAAAAGCCTGGAATTCTGAAGCGGTTTACGGTAAATGGTGGTGTAATAATCCGTGTGAAAACCTAAATAAGGCAACTTGCATGTTTTTCTACTGAACACAACTATCTGGGTTGGAAGCATTCTGCAGAAAAACAATTTTCTTTATTCATAAGTGCCTTTTCATCTGTGATAGCATTTCATTTATGAATTGTACTAAAACGTTGTTTGTAATGAAGCTAACTGAATATTCATATTCTAAACGCAAACCATTGCGGGTGTACATGCCCTGTCGATGTACATAGCTCCATTCATTTCCTTGTTAATTGGTATAAAACATTCTCTGATTTAGCAATATCAGAGTAAAGTTGGTAATTTGTCAAATATTAAAAATATGTAGTTTTTGACATATAACATAATCCTGAAGTACCAACAGCCACAATCCTTTGCTTGAGGTATTGTGTAAGGTAACCTTAGGGACAGAATTTTCATAACCGCCTTAATTTTTTTTCTGTTTATGCTGAGTCATATGTCGAACTTCAATAGTTATTTATGTTCAGGGAAACTAGACTTATTTGTGACGCGTTCAAGAAACCAGTTACATAATATTTTTACCTTACATAATGCAACGGTTTGGCTTTGTCATCGAATATTCAACACAATACTGTTTTATCATAAAAAGAGCAAAATCTGCTGTGTAGTTACCAACAAGTTTATTATTTTCCAATCAAGCTTCAGTAATTAGGAAATGGAACAATCAGAGTTCGCGTAAGATATCATTTAAATAAATTAACTGCTACCATGTCATGAATCTATGAAAATAACGAGGTATTATAGTATGAATCAGTGTTCTAAAAGCCTTTCACCATAGTGTGTTACTTCACTCCGTGGATCCCGTATGGGTTTGAACGGATACTAAACAAGTTATGGATTTACACTTTGGTATTAGTTTGCCTTTAGTGATCAACTGAGGATTAAATTCAGATTTTTCTATGAAGTAAGAAGTTGGGTATTTTTGTGAATTTACACCGAGTTGACCAATTGAGTAGATAAACCATTTAAAAGCGGTTGATTTAAGTATTTTCCGAAAAATTCAGCATACATTTATGAGGTTACTGAGTATATATACCTATATTTACGCATCCAGTGTATGATCACTTAAATTCATTGACAGCTGAGTCATTAATAGGATAGTCGATTTATATCGATTTTCAATTATGTGTTTATCAGTTTTCCATTAATTTTTAGTGAACACACGCACGATGGGTATTTTCAACTTTTCAACACAATAGGTGTGGCTAACAGGGTAGATACGAAAACTGCCACATACCGTTTCTATCCCTGTTAAAACTATTGATTGTTTACTATATTTAGTCTAAACATATTTCTTTTTCAGAGTATTAATTGACAGCTAAGCAGTTTATATTGTTTATATTTGTAAAATGACTTTGCAAATAAATAGTGAGAGATTAATTACAATTGGAATTTAAACATGCCAGGAAGGAAATAATTATCACCTGTGGTACTGATTGATCGCGCTATATTCCAAGTTAAATAAAGTGTATTGCTGAACGCCAACCCGTTCGTCCTAAGGCTTAACCGTTCTCTGTGAAAATCGAAACCCCTGGATTCGATTGCTGTCGCGTTCTTGGGTGCTTACTGCCGCAGTGTTTCCTGCTTAGAGGAAACATGCTCCCTAATTCTCAACAGTTCACCAACTGAGATCGATTCATGACGAATACAACTAAGAAATAGATTAATGATCAGAACAATTATTTATGTTTTTATATTTTTCATGATAATATCAAACAAAAGCTAGTTTCGTATGTGATGTGTATGGTGTTTTACACTGACGTGAAATCAGAACTTATCGAAGCAGCTGTGTTTAGAAAATAATTGTTTTCAGATGTTTTCTTTCAAATTTTAATTTTGGAGTATTTTCAATAATCTGTTGTTTGAAATGAGAATATAGAAGAGAACTAACTTTTGGCTAGCGAAATACTATCATGGATGTATTTGGGTTATAACTGATTATCTGATTACAAGTGGTTACATAATAAGCGGTTGTAAAATTCTGCTACACATTTCAGTGCGTACGGAATATTCACAATCTTTAATGTGTTACTTCCGACTGTAATTTATAGGTAGGTTGCTGCATACTTGTGTGATGGAGTAGTATTTGAAGGCTTGATGAGTGAATTTTCAGTTATTATAATGAAAAAAAGTGCTGACTGACATTTAAATTCCAATAATACTAAGTGCCGCCGGAGAATGCATTCTGTAAGACTAGTGTATTAACTAATGCCTCTGAATCATTCAAAAGCAATGATAACACTATTAGCTAGTAGAATGGGTTTTTCTCCCAAATAAGTAACTCGCCTGTATTACAAATTATTAACGGAAAAAACGTTATTAATTATTATCAGTGACTAGTCAATATTAATTCAGTAGGTCGTTTGCTCTTAAATGATTAAATTTCTAAATGAAAGACTTCTTGTTATAACTACCCGATAAACCAGATTGTAACGGGAATAAAGAATTCTGCTCATGGATTATTAACACTAATATACATATTGCTGGTTGAAGTATAATCCAAAAATCAAAGTAGGATTTGCTTCTAGTGTTTTTGTTCCAGTTAATAAATTTGATACATTTCATTTCAATCGTTTATAACGGTTATTTATTTCGTTGTTATTATTGCGAAACATTTCGCATATATCTTATCCTTAGTTTTCTCAATTAGACAATAATTAACTTAGAGAAGAAAATCTGATATTT